TACCCGAAGCTTCTCGTACTCCGCGAGCGTCTCTATTAATAACGACGAATATACTCGATCGCTCGCTTCTTAATAGCTCGCCTCCGGACGGTACTAAACTACGATAAGTAAACTCGGTACTTAATTCGATTATCTAGGAGAATAAAATACTCGAAAGCCCGGTTAAGCGATATATCGCTCGAGCTACTACTACCCTCGAAAAGTCGAATTCCGAGAATACGCTTTTACGAAAAGAGAATACCGAATAACGAGAGCTTCTCGAGACTCGTAAGAAACGAACGAAAAGGAAACAAGTCGCTTTAGAAAAGCGTTTTATTTTTAATACGGAGGAAATCCTCGAAATCGCCCGGTAAGCCGAAGCGGAGATAGCGAAGAAAACAACTTATAAACGGAAGCGGAACGCCTCTCCGAGTCCGGAAATCGAGGACATTATCGAGGAGGTACCCGAGAACGAGGATAGCAATAGTAAAAGTAGCTATATTACTATAGCGTTACGTAGATAGTCGAGAGTATCGAGGATTCGAGGCTTATACGTAGCTTTACCGTCTACGTAGCTTCCCTATTAAGTACGTTACTAGAGGGAGAGACACGATCCTAGAATAGTCTTCGGCGACCAAACCATGGATCTGAGAAGCCATGCATTTTAATACTATCTGAAAGATATATAGGGACATAATTTGGGAGGAAACATTCCCTCTTTAGGCGGCGCCTTGTCCAAATGGGAAGTTACTTGCGGCATAGATAGGATATGGAGTACTCTATCTATATAAGGAGCGGACTGTCTCGACTTCTATAAATGCATGCGAATTACAAAACTAACCCATTCTATCCTTTCCTGCTCGTCTCTTTCCTATCTGCACCCTTCACCTTCGCCCTTGAGCCCGTCCACTGGACATGATGCTCGATGCAAATTGTGTCTATTGCGCAAGGTTGCCTTGGTTGCACACACCACCGCCGGGCTCGACGATACCGTATGCCTTGTAGAATTGGCTGGCGTTGTCCGAGCCTATAGTAGAAACGTAATTAGTACACATGTCAATACTGTCCATCGATCAGTGATTCTTACAAGAAAATCCACTGCTACAGTCATAGTTGCAGTCGCTGATAGCTGTGTTCAGCTAGCCAGAGCCGCAGTTGTTCGTGATGGTATGCGCGTAGTTGCAGACAAACACGGCGACATCAATGTAGACAAACGAGTAGTTTGTGTTGATCCCAAGTTTGTAGCTGTTGCCGTTGGCGTCACACCAGCGACCGAGCTCCTGCTTGGCGATAGTGATATGATCACTAATGAAGTGCTGGTTGCCACAGGTCGCGACGGCGTTGGCAGGCCAGGCCGGAATATCGATCGCGACGTCACTGGTATCGTTGGTTGGGAGTTCGTATGGGACGCCCAAGAAAGTCGATGTCACGATGCCCGCGGTCTCGTTGACCACGTGTCTCCACAAGCCCATGGGGCTGACTGCAGGAAGGTCGAAACCCCCTTCTGCGGTCCATGGGCCAGTTTCGGTGTATCCGACTTGGATTTGTGATGCAGAGTTGGTTGGAAATGCGACGGTGAGACCGAAAGTGGCCAGAGCGGCGAGGATTGTAGAATGCATGGCGTGAATGTCGCTTGGTGGATGGACGTGAAGCGAGGCTGCTGGTGGGCGTGGAAGAGTTGTTTGCTGGCTGGATGAGTTGCTACAGTGGTGAGAGAGACTGATTTTTATACTGTATCATCTTCGTACTCGTAGCCTATTGACCTCTCGATATTCCAATTGATCTCCACTTCGTCGACGGTCCATGATCTCTTCGCGCTCCTTGCCATGTCATTGCTTGAGAGTCTGATCGATCTCTTCGACTGTCGGCAGCTCACGGATGTGGTGTTGATGGGAGTTAGTATTCCGCACCTAGCTTCGTAAGAGAAAGAATTCGATCGCGTGCTCCATCGCTTTCACTAGATCGCACTGCTCTCAATGAATCGCAATCAACTCGACAGGAAGCCAGTGGGACTTCGAGTCTTACACACTTCTAGCGGGCGAGCCCTCCTCGCGCCCTAGAATAGGCCTCAAAAGGAACGACTGTACCCTAACTATATAGGGATGTCGGGAGCAGTGGCGTCCTAGGATGAACGTTTTAAGTGTCTAGGATAAACGTGTAAAGCAATGTAGCGGCCCGACGATGCAGCACGAGGAGTTGGGATCACGCTTACCAAGACGTGTTTGTGATTATAACGTAGTAGTGTAGTAAGATACGATGCGATATAGTGGAGGAGGTGCTCCATCGTGTCAATAAGTCTAACTTTGCATTGGCCGCTAGCCTTGAACATAGGCTACGTGACGCTATATTTACCAGCTAACCTGTTCGGGGAATTCAGGCTGTTGGCCACGAGCCGATGGCGATACCCGGCCTTCGATCTGCACGGTGTGTTCTGCGGACATCTGATTTGCGGATGATTCTTATGTTCTATAGGGCTGACAGGGTTGATAGGATTGAGGATGTCCCTAATCAAAGTCAATGCGGTATTCGTATGATCGTATCGCCTCGAGTGACGTTGATTCGCCCGTACCATTCCGAAAACGGAAAGCGAAGGGATGAAGTCTATATACGAATGAATACGTTCGAGCTATGATTATTAAATTCGGCACTCACATGGCCTCGTATTAGACAAGTGCCGCGTAAGCGGTTGTCAGTGATTTGTAGGTCTTACGCAATGGAACGTAAGGTAGCTACTGCCCGCGACGAGATTCAATTGGCAAATGCCACGACTAGCTTATCGTCACGGCAGCGTAAGAGGGTTTTGAACATTACTTGCCAATGGCAATTGAGGAATGTGACAAAGCCAACACCGTCAAGAGTTTCCCCATACCATTCTAGCTGCATTCACTCCACCGATTAATCTGTGACTATGTGCGCTACATCGAAGTCTTGAGGGCTGTATACGATGGAACGGTTGTTCGTCCACGTTGCAAGTTCATCAGCCAACAGCATCCATCTACGAGCCAAGGATCATGTTGAGCAACCCGATTGTACGCACCGCGTGCCATCTATGAGCCAAGGATGGTGTTGAGCAGCGCGCTTGTATGCACCACGTGCTGGATTAGGCAAGCCGCAAGCATGCCCACTACAGCAGACTTTGACCCAGGAAGACCACCATCCTGAACCTCTAGATACGATAGTATGAGGATCATGTTGAGCAAAACGATTGTACGCACCACGTGCTGGACTAGGCAAGCCGCAAGTATACGCACAACAGCAGACTTTGACCTAGGAAGACCAACCATCCTGGAACTGTGGAAACGGTCGGACGAGTGTGCCGTGGCAGCATCACAATCGATCGATCCGACGGTCTCAGCCGTCTGTCAATGACAAGAGCTGTCGTTCGCGTTACAGATTTAAAGAGGCTGTTGTCCCAGGCCGACAGCGTTCTTTCCTTCATCATTCAGATCCATCGTCACTCGCGAATACCAAGCATACTTCTTCCGTCTAAACACGAGCCCTACCATCTGCCCGGCTCAATGTCTCCAACAGGCATCACCCTCGCAGCCGCGACTGCCTTTGCACTCTTCGCGGTTCGCGCCCAAGCCGCTGACATCGTCTTTGGTTCATCCGGCAACTGCAGCGATGGCATCGCTCTCTACGGCGCCTCCAATCTCACAGCCGTTGATTGCTTCGCTCTGCCCACCGACGACGATGAAAAGGCAACCTCGGCGCTGATCTCCAACATCACTGCCGGACAACTCGTCCAGTTCTTCGCCGACGCCAACTGCAAGACCATGACGGAGCAATTCTCCGACGACGCTTGCTACACCAGCGTGTCTCCCATCGGTTCGTTTCGGATCTTACCTGAGGACGACCAGCCTAAGGATCTCGTCGTTCTCCCCACCAGACTGTCGAACTACACGGATCTTCAGGTGGCCCCCGACGCCGTCATCTTAGCAAGTCACCTTCGCAGTGGACTCCACGCCGTCGCCAGCGCTGCTTCTGGAGCTCTCACCTTCGCCGTCATCTTCACGGACTGCTACGATGTGGCGAATGGGGAAACTTCAGGAACCACATACTTCGCCTGCATCGGCGGGGTCCTCGCAAGTGCGTTATCGTTTGCCGCCTCCATTGAACACGCGTACCATACCGTCACGAGCTATATCCAGTACATAGGTGACACGGCCGAGATTCTTCACGCCGCCATCGGCAGTGCGAAGCGATCCGTCGATGGTAAAGACATATTTGTCCCTGTGGGGAATGTCACGCGGCCTCTGTCGGGTGGCCGCACGAGTACCACAACGCTCTTCCAGTCTGAGATGGGGGGTGTGACGTGGCACACGGCTAGTTTCGCAGACGATCAGACTGGAGAAGTTTACCACCACTTGGTCCCCGCCAGCCAGTCGCCTCTCAAGAAAAGAGCCACTCCGGGCTACGACGTCGAGCAATGGACCGACGGAGGCGTTTTGCTCACGCTGTGTCCCGTGAACACCGGGGCCCCGCTCTCTGGAATATCTTCCACTGCACAGGATAACTACAGTACGTATTGAAAGATGCTCCTCGTTGACATGATAAGCTGGAGAGGACATCGCTGACATTAGCATTGCAGGCAACTACTACAGCCAAATCACCTGTGCCCTCAAAGGTATCTCACGCGAGGCCACGAAAGTCAGCGTCGACATCTTGAACACGGCTGGGACCGTCGTTGCGCAGGCGGGCATTGTTCCTTATGGAGCGTCGGGCGGTCCTACAAGTGCTGAGTCCGATGGTCAATGCCCGAATTCGTCTATTGCCCCAAACCCTGGTTGCTGGACTAATTAAGTAGTCTGCGAGGCAAGCAGATCGTGCAGTCCGCGAGGCTGGGTTGCTAGGTTGCTGAGCTCACGCTAGACGTTGCGCGAGAAGAAGCACAGCTGGGAAATGCATCAGTTAAAATAGAGTAGGGTAGTTGGTGAAATATCACGCACGGTCGATTTCTTCCTACACCCCCAACCTCAAAACCCTCACCGCATTTCCCCCCAAAATCCCATCCACATCCTCCTTCCGCTCCCCCATCGCATCCCTCACAGCCTTGACATTACTCGTCACACTCAACCACTCGCCACCGCCCTCCTCCTCTTCCTCCAGCGGCGGAAAGAAAGGATGATCCGTCCCAAACATAAGCCGATCCTTGCCCGACGCCTCAATCGCAGCCTTCAGCCCCAGCTGCGAATACACCACAGCGTCGAGATAGATATTCTTCTTCAGCACATCCCAGACATCTCTCCGCCCACCCGCAGCGGCCTGCTTCATCAGATGCGCGTCGTGCGCGATGCAGCTTTCGATTCGGCCGGCGAGGAAAGGGAGTGTGCCGCCGCTGTGTGCGAGGAGAACTTGCAGTTTCGGGAAGCGATCAAACACGCCCGACAGCAACATCCTCGTCACGGCGATCGTCGTCTCCAGCGGGAATCCCATTGCCAAAGGCAACACGTGCCCGTACTCGCTCTTCCGCGGCCCGTAAACCTCATCCGGCAAGCCATAATGCGGGTGCAGGAACAACACCATGCCCTCCTCCTCCAATACCCTCCAAAGCGCATCGAGCATCGCATCATCCAAACCCTCCCCTAACCCCGACGTCCCCATAACCACCCCCCGACAGTGCTTCAACCCCTTCAACCGCTGCACCTCCCCCACAACCGCCTCCTCGCTCGCGCTCAACGGCAACGTCCCAAAGAAAAACAACCGCCCCTCAAACCCCGCACACATCCCCTCCATATCATCATTAACCCCCCTCGCCACACCCGCCGCCTCCCCAGAAGCCACCCAATCGAGCCACGGATTCGCCAGACTGAGCACGCTGACATCGATGCCGTGGCGGTCCATGAAGGCGATTTTGGCGGAGATGTCGAAGTAGGCGGGGCCGATGGGCCGGCCCTTGGCGGTCGAGGTGGAGGCTTCTTCGGTGGGGAGGATTATGAGGCGGGGGCCGATGCGGGCGTCGAAGGTGCGGACGTAGGGGATTTGTTGGCGCGCGCGCAGGAGGGACATGAGCAGGGGTGGGTACATGTGGGTGTGGATGTCGACGGTGGGCATTTTGGGGGAGTTTGGTGGTGGTGGTGGTTCTTTTCGTAAGGTGGGAATTGGTGGTCGATATCCAAAACGGAATGAATGAGTGACTTTTGATTGAGCTTTGCTTTTTATATGCCCTCAAAAGATCATCTGACGCAGCAGTGTTGACGGAGATCCAGGAAATGACAGTATATACTGTGAAAATGATATTTCATCAAGAGGTGAAGTCCAACAAACAAGCTCTCCCTCTCCCCCATCGGACCCCGCCTCAATGCAGGCCTGACCTGCTCGCGCGCAACTGATAAGAAACACCCGCCCCGCCACACGCATCGCCCTATCAACCACCACTGATAACAAATGCACGCCGCTTCTATATCTGGACATTCAGGGAAAAGCCTCCAACCGCACCTCTATTTCGACTTCACTTCGTTCCCTTCACCGTCCATTTCCCTCCAAACAAGCTCACGGAAGGAACAGCACGTCTCACACGAAGCTCCTCACCTCACCATGAAGCCCTCTGCAGTGACATCGGCGGTCTCGTCGGACAATCTCGAGATCCCGCTGATTGATTTCTCGTCGTTCCTCACGGCGGCGGATGAAGCGACGAAGCGGACCACCGCCCAGGCGATTCTCGACGGGTTTCAGAGAGCGGGGTTTATCTATTTGAAGAATCATGGGATTACGCCGCCTGAGATCAAGGAGGCTTTTTCGGAGTCGGCGAAGTTCTTTAAACGGCCGAAGGCGCAGAAGTTGGAGATGGGATGGACGACACCTGAAGCGAATCGAGGATATTCGCAGCCGGGACGAGAGAAGACGACGGATGCTACGGATCCGAGCGAGATTGAGAAGATTCGGGAGAAGGAGGGTGTGGATTTGAAGGAAAGTTTTGAGATAGGAAGGGAAGGAGAGGAGGACCTACCAAACCAATGGCCGGACAGATTCGACCAAGAAGGCAAGGTGTTCAAGGAGAAGATGTTGCAATTCCACGACCGGGTGAAGCAATTGCACATGCAAATCATGCGTGCGATTGCGGTGGGATTGGGAATCGAGGAGACGTGGTTCGATGGGTACACCTCGCGGGGGGACAACACGCTTCGCTTGTTGCATTACCCGGAGGTGAAGAGCGAGGTGTTTCAGAAGAATGCCAATACTGTCCGAGCGGGTGCTCACACAGACTATGGCAGCATTACGTGTCTGTTCCAGGTAAGTCCTGCCGTCGAAGTGGTGTGTTGGAGGATCGGTTGGGGAAGAGAGTACGGCAGCAGCATCCGTGTTGAGGTGGCACAATGCATTGCGAGATTGCGGCGTTCGATGCCGAAATACGGATTTCGGTCTCTTGTCAACTTGGCGTCGGCATGTGAAAGCGCGGCTAACTTGCGTTGTTGAGTGTAGGATATGGCCGGCGGGCTGCAGGTCCTCTCGCCGAACGGGAACTACATTGACGCGAAGCCGATTGAGGATACCATTGTGGTGAATGCGGGTGATTTGTTAGCGCGGTGGTCCAACGACACCATCAAGAGCACGAAACACCGTGTGGTCGAACCCCCCACGACAGCAAACGTGCATCCAGCACGCTATTCGATTGCATACTTCTGCAATCCCAACTTTGATCGCTTCATCGAAGCAATCCCTGGCACCTTTAGTGAAAGCAGACCGAAGAAATATCCAGGGATTAACAGGTCAGGAAGGCGACACCGACAAGACTCGAATGCATTGACTGACCTGTTCTAGCGGGGACTATCTCGTACAGCGTTTGGCGGCGACGTACTGAAAGGCGGCTTGCCTATTCCGTGGACTGCAAAGAACCATCTAGGTCTGCACGTGGTAGGAAGATTCATCTGGTCGTCGGAGTTCGCCTGGATTTGCCAAGACATGATCATAGCAGGGGTGCACGAAAGCCGATGAATGTTTCTAGCGATTCGTGGACTTTCTAGCCTCAAGCCAGTCTCTCAAGCCATATTGGCGGTGTGAGGCGCGCGTAAAACTGGCCGTGCTGCATTCTTTTCGAGTCGCAAAGTTGGCCGACGGCCAGCGACGCCGAAGAGGCGCCCTTGCCCAACGCCGACATCAAGGTGTGCGAGACGCAGGGCGCGAGTGAGTCAGTATTGTGCGATTTCGGCGCGGTATGTCGTGGTGAGCTGCTAGCTGCTCACGAGAGAGCATCGTGACTGCAGCGTGCGTACGTTGCCGCGGAGTTGCCGGGTGCAGGATGTCCAATGTTGCTCTGTAGACGACGTGAGGTCGCTGTTTGGAGCGGGGAAGACGCGCCATGGGGTGAAGGCCATTGGCTGGTGGAGACGAGGTTCTCGAAGAAAAAGACTTTCTCTCCCTCTTGCACGTCATCACATGTCAAGAACCACCACGACGACCCGACAAGCTTGATGCCAGCCAGGATCTGCTGACCACTTGCTTGCCTGCCTTGCTCCATGATACACACCTACATACATGCGTTCGGCTGAGCTGACTGACTGCCCATGGCTTGCTAACGATGAGCATGGATGACAGCTGAATGCAAGCAACACGCTCAACATGCGAATTCGCACATGAGACGCGCATGGTCGCGGCTGAAGAGGATGAAAAAATGGGCGATTCAAGGCACCGGTGGGCAGTCCGGCTCTATTTTCTGCAGCAAAGCTTGGGAAGAATTTCCGGTTGGGGCATGGGACGGAATGAGGCGATCGTGTGAGCAGCCTTTGCGCAAGGCGTGATGCGCGGATGTGTCTAGCACGTCTCCACCGACCACGGCGCATGTCCCGTCCACTGGTCGCAGACGCTTCTCTTACCAAACAGAAACCGCCCGCCTGCAGCGTTTTTGTTTGCACAAGAACTGCTGAGCAGCACGTGGGTTTCGCTGTCCGTCTGCTAGCATTTTGTGTTGACTACAAGACCATGTGCCTGGCCCAAACCGCCTGGAGAACGCACCGTCACGCCCTCACCACGCACCGCACCAATTCGTGACTGATCATTCGCTTTCGACATCGCTGCACCGCCACAGATCCCTTGTTCTGGTCGTCGCTTCTGCACCCCGCCATCGGTCTCGGAGCCGGGCGAACGAAGGCGCGTCATCCTGCGAAACGTCTAGAGCGACAATGTCTCTCAGAATTTTTGGCATCAAAGTGCCCTCGCCCGACTACATCCCCCATGCCTCCAAGGGCGCCGCCAAAATCACCCACACAGCACTAGACAACATGGATCACATCAAGCGTCCCACCCTCAAGCTCAAACACAGCAGCGACAAGGCCAAGTCGAAGGAACGTTCACTCTCCAAGGACAAGCATGGCAAAGATGCGCCCAGGTCGCCCGCACGCCCGAAGCCCGTCAAGATGGACCTAGTGATGGAGTCGCCGCCGGTGCTCCTCATGGACAACCCACAACAGTCGTCAGGCGCATTGATCTCCGGTCGCTTGCAAGTCACCCCCAATGCCCCGCAGGTCGAGCTGGAGAGCGTCAAGATGTTCCTGGAATGCTCCACCACAACAAAGCGGCCCGTCGAGGCGCGGTGTCGCGAATGCATGAACCAAGTCAAGGATCTCTACGAATGGCACTTCTTCACCAAGCCCAAGGTCTTCCGTGCGAGCGAGGGCATGCAGGAGCTACCATTCTCTCATCTCATCCCGGGCCATCTTCCAGGAACCACGCATGGCTACGTCAGCAGCATCGAATACTCCCTACATGTCCGTGCAAGGAGCACTTCTGGCGAGGAGACCGAGTTCCGACGACAGCTCGTTATCAACCGTGCTCTGCGTCCAGGCAACGACAAGAACAGCGTCCGCGTATTCCCCCCAACGAACCTGACCCTCCACGTTACCCTCCCCAACGTCGTCCATCCCATCGGCGAGTTTCCGGTCCAGTGCCGTATGACAGGCATTACCACGAAGCGCGACGACACACAAACGCGATGGCGACTTCGAAAACTCACCTGGCGCATTGAAGAGCACGAAACAGCCATCAGCCCCGCCTGCCCCAAACACATCGCCAAAGTCGGCGGCGAAGGCAAGGGCGTGCAACACGAAAACACCCGCGACGTCGGCATGGACGAGATGAAGACGGGCTGGAAAACCGACTTCAGCGACGGCACCGTCGAAGGCGAATTCATGGCCTCGATGAACCCCTCCGCCAAACCCCAACGCGGCGTCGACTCGGCCAACGGCCTCAAAATCAACCACAACCTCATCCTCGAACTCGTCATCGCGGAGGAATGGGCGCCCAACAAGAAACCCAACCAGGCGACGCCCACCGGCGCAGCGCGTGTGCTTCGTACGCAGTTCGCACTCAATGTCACCGAGCGGGCGGGCATGGGAATCGCGTGGGACGATGAGCAGCCGCCGATGTACGAGGATGTGCCTGCGAGTCCGCCGCATTATCGGACGAGCAGCGGCGAGGGCCTCACCCAGATTGTGGACTATGAAGGCGAGGACCTGCATGAGGATGTGGAGCATCTGAATTTGAACTCTTGAACCACCGCGCGCAATCTGACGACGAAACGGCCTCCTCATTCATCATGATCGAAACGGCAACACCATTGACACCGACACACCTATCATCTCGACTCAGCAAGCATTTTGGTATTCCTCATCATTCGTCATTCATCACTGGAAAGCACAGTACAGCACAGCGTCAAAAATCATTCGGGAAAAGCGGACGGATTCATTACTTCATTTTTGCGAACTCCTTTCGGACAGGGAGAGATACCCATTGCTTTATTCATCAATCGATAGACTACTCAACATCAGCGAAGGCGTTTTAATTGGCGAAAGAAAGGAGACGAGAGGAAAAAAGTAAGGATGGGAACAGGACTGGATTGGATTTGTTTTTTGAAGCGAGGCGTGAGTGCTCGCGTACTATCATGGTAGTGGTAGTGGTAGTATAATCATGAATCGGGAACGACTAGCTTGCACTACACACACTTTTTCTGAGTTTCAACCCTTCTTTCTTTGCCTTCTCATCCACAAGCCATGCGCAAGACTCTCTACTCGAGCATGCAACGATACGGGTCGCAATAGACTGTAGCTGGTGGGTGTACAACTGACCCTCTCTCTCTCTCTCTCACTCATCACCTACTGCTGCACCAGCACCACTCTTATTACCCCTCCGATCATCTCTCTCCCTCTCGCGATCCCTCTCCCTATCCCTCTCACGACTCCTATCCCGTCCACTATACCGATCACCCCTCCCATCCCTATCCCTCTCACGACTCCTCGACCTCTCCCTCCGTCTCAAGCGATCCCTATCGTCGTCACGAGAGCCACCACCCCCACCGCCGCCACCAGGTCTCCACCGATCCATCGTCTCCGAACCTCGAAGACGATCGCGATCGTCGTAGCGGGGGCGGCGGCGACGTTCATCTCTAATCACGTCGCGGTCCCGATCGCGGTCTCGCTCGTCGCGGATGACATCCCTGTCCCGTTCGCGGTCCCTTTCGCGGCTCCTCTCGCGAGGTCTCTCGATACGCTCTCGGTCTTCTTCGTCGTCTTCCGAGGTGCGTTTCCTCTCTCTGCGGCGTGGAGGCGACTCGTCCTCTCTCGTTCGGCGAGTGCTGGCTCCACCGGTAGTTGCAGCTGCAGCACCTCCAGGGACATACCTGTCGATGCCTGGCGGGCTACGACTGCGCTCTCGTCTCCTCGAGCGATCTCTGTACCGACGAGCAGGAGATCGAGAACGGGTGCGGTCGCGATACTCGCGGCGTCGTGGGGGTGGACTGCGGCTGTCGGCTTCGCGGCGTGGTCGATACGATTCCCTGCTCTTGCTACGAGCATTGCGTTCGACCAACTCGCCTTCTTCTTCACGAGGACGCTCACGCTCCCTTTCGCGAGAACGAGGTCGGTGGCTTTCTCCTCGGTCCCTGTCGCGATATCTGTCGCGATCGTCGCGTCCAGCTGGACGACGAGCTTTCCAGGCTTCCCGCTCGGCACTAATGTCGCGGTAGAGGGATTCTCGTCGATCACGTGGGCGGCGGTCGTCGGGTGATGCATCACGTCTTCGGTTGCTGTAGGATGAACGGGCTGGGGATGGAGACCGAGCACGAGTTCGAGTGCGGGATTCAGATTCTGCTGGTGTTGCTGGCGCAATGGTTGGGACTGCGCTGAAGGACTCGCCTGGTTTGTCACCCTTCCTAAGCGTGAGCGATGTAGGCATGAGTCCCTGAGCGCGCATCTGGTCTTTGCTTTGGTTGTTGCGTGGAGCGGATTGGTGCTTGAGCAGTCTTGATGGTGGCTCCATGCTCTCGCTGCGTTCCAATGCTGGGCGTCTGCCTTGCTCTGCAATTTCCTGGGCGTCTCGAAGAAGAGTCTCTCTGGCTTCAGCTTCCAACCGTCTCCTGTCACGCTCTTCACGCTCCTTTTGACGTCGTTCTCTTTCTTCTTGTAGTGCTCTTTCGCGCTCTTCGGCTTCTTTCTTCGCCTTTTCGCGGTCTTCATTGTACTTTCGCAATCTCTCTCGTTCTCGCTCCTTCTCGGCAGCCTTCCACGCTTCACGCTCAGCACGACGCTTCTGCTCTCGCTGGAGCCGTTCAGTCTCTTTCTGCAGGGCTTCCTGCTTCTTCTTCAAAGCCTCCAATTCCTTCTTCTTTCGCTCCTGTGCCTCCTGCTTCTTGCGCTTCTTCTCATCCTCCACAAACTTCCGCTCGCGCTGCTGCCGACGCTCCTCCGCTTCCGCCGCGTACGCCTCTTCACTCTTATTACCTTTGCGTATCTCCTCCTCGGCACCTTCTGCGCCAACATCATTTCGCCTAATTTCCCTCATCGTCTTCTCGGCATTTGCCATAAACTGGTCGATGTAGGCATTGATGTCCTGCTCAGTCTTACTGTAGATATCCGCACGTGCTGCAGCTCCTTCAAGCAGAGGCGCGCCCATGCGTCTGTCAGGCTTCAAGTACTTGACCGGTTCGCGATCGATTTCAGTCGTCGTAAAGGTGCGCAGCGATGCCTCAAACATGCCGCGTTGAGCGCTCTCGTTGTATTGCTGGAAGGCCTTTTTGCGCAGTGCGTCGAACTCGCCCTTCTTCTTGAACGTGTGAAGCATGCCGTCGATAGACGCGCGCTGTGTCGAAGACAAGGGCAATTCGGAGATCTTTGGCTTCTTGCGCGGCGGCAACTCGAAGTCCTCGCCGTCCATGCCGGACATGACGACGTCGGTCGCCATTTTGGTATGTGCGACGTCTGGTGATGGAGTGATGGTTGGAGGTTGTCGTGGCAGCACCTCGAGATGCAAGGAGGGCGCGGCGTCCAGATGTTTATTTAGAGTTTTGACTCGGGTTCTCCCGCTCCGAAGCCGAAATCGAGGAGCTGCACATTGGCAGCGACATCCATCCACCTGAGCACCTTGCGTGACAATCACAGCACCAGCCTTCGCAGGGGACGAGACATAAGAAAGGGCGGGCCCTAATAGTCGCGGATGTTCTACGCCTGAGACCACACCACAAACCATTCAAAGCGCAATCGCAGTCATGGTCAACAAGATCCTGTTTTGGTCGGGCTTCGGTATGTGCAGCATGCTCGTAAAACGCAGTATCACGGGCTAATCAAGACGTTTCTCAGGCCTCGCTGTCCGCTTCTGGCAACTCGGTATCGAAATGCGCCCTTTCTTCGCGCGCGAGAACTGGGTCATCTACCCGATCTACGGCGGTCTGGGAGCATCATTCGGATATTGGCTACAAGGCATCGAGCAGAGACAGATGCGATATCTCTCAGAAACACGCGAACGCCTACTTGAGAAGCGGAGGAGACGCGCGGAGCGGGAAGGAGGTGTGAACATTGGTGACCAGGCGCAGAGAAACGAGGAAGGCCTGTTCGCAACACCCAAGGACACGGCGGCAGCATAGGGAGGCAGCGGATGGAGGGAGAGGTGATGGCGACGATGGATAGGTGTCCATATGGATGTGCGGGAGGACGTGAAGATGCAAGAAGCGGCGGAATATGCCCCGTTTTGAGAGGATACCGCCAACTGCAACATGTGCTACACTCGAGAAATGAACCTCATGACAGCTGGTTCAGTCCTACACTGTCACGTCGTATCTCCTAGAGTCAACGGCGTGGCAGATTTTGTGTATAGTTACACCTCACCCAGCGGATAAGCTGAACGGGCAGGCTTTAAATGGGAGTGCGGCTTCACATCTCCAATCAACACCTTTCCAAACACTTCATCACAATGTGAATATAAGAACACCGTCTCGAGGCACACACTTCGAAATCTTAACACTGCAAACATGACGGCTCACGATTTCGCGAATGGCTGGCAAAGGTCACTCCGCTTGCCCACAAAAGATACTCCCACGCCTCCGCGTTCGCCATCCCTGGCAGCGACCACTCGCGGCGGCATCGTCGTATTCTCCGGAGGCAGTGCTGCTAACAACCTAGTTGACGTCTTCGATGAGATTCGCGAGGCAAACCAGAACGCTCTAAGCTATGTGATACCCATCTCGGACAATGGAGGTTCCTCCAGCGAGTTGATACGCGTGTTTGGCGGGCCAGGTACGTGTTCATGTCATGCACAGCTCAAGAGGTCGTCCGCTTTTGAATGGAATACTGATCTGTCTTCAGGTATTGGAGACGTACGATCCCGCCTGGTCCGACTGATACCTGAAGATGGACCTGAGGCGAAAGCCACGAGGAACTTCTTCAATCACCGATTACCCAAGGAATTCGGTCCCGCGAGACTAGAGTGGCTGGACATTGTCGAAGGGACTCACGCACTGTGGAATGGTATCTCTTCCCCCAAGCGGGAGTTGATCCGAAGTTTCCTCAATTCTGTGAATCAGGAACTGGTCAAGCGATTGAGGCCTACGAGTCGGTTCGACTTCTCTGGTGCAAGTGTTGGGAATCTATTCTTGACTGGGTAAGTTCAAGCTATCGACTGTTGTCTGAATGCTGGCTGATATTGCAGTGCTCGTCTCTTCACTGGTAGCTTCGAGGCAGCAATCTATCTCGTCTCCAGTATTTGCGGCGTGCCGAGCACCGTTTCCATACTGCCTGTGCTGAATACCAACTTTGCACATCACATCGCGGCTGGGCTGGTCGATGGCACGGTCATTACAGGCCAGAACAACATCAGTCACCCTAGTGCTCCCACCGCAGACGTATCGCATGTTCCAACCTCGCCAAGGCAACGACTGAGGAACGAGACTGAGGAACACGACAAGGTCGAAGATGCCAACATGCCGGGAACATTGCCGGATCTACGCAAACCAGCGATAGCCTTCTCAAAGCAAGACGAAGAAGAGTTGCCGTCCAGGATCGAGCGGCTGTGGTACATCAATCCTTATGGTCAGGAGATTACCATTCCTGCCAATCCTCGAGTGATAGAAGCACTGAGGAATTCGTCGTGCATCGTCTACTCCATCGGCAGCTTGTTCACCTCGATCATCCCTTCACTGGTCCTCAGAGGTGTTGGCGAGGCTGTCGCATCTACAGCAATCCCAACCAAGGTCCTCATTCTGAACGGCACACTGGACCGCGAGACTGGACCTTCGTCAAACCCATACACAGCCCTCGATTTCGTTGCCGCCATTGCAAAGGCGTGCTCTGACTCTCGCGGCTTACCAAGCCCAGATCCGGACGAATACTGGCGATACGTGACTCACATCATCTACCTGGACGGCCCAACGTCACCAAAGGTCGATAAAGATGCCTTCAACAAGATAGGCATCGAGTCACTGCGTGTGTACGGGCGGAAAGACGGAAACGGGAAGGGAGGCCGATACGATGCCAAAGCGCTTACCCAAGCATTGGAAGCAGTCATCGGACGTAAAGACGCAAGAGGCATCTCAAGACGTAACACGCTGGTGTTGTGAAGGAGTTTTGGTTGGCGGCGTTGTTTTCTCCAGGTGGACTGTCCGCCTCAAGCTTCGCCGACCCACTCAGGAACAGGAAGGAGCCCCGCTGATTGTTTCGAGCTGCCCCAACGATGTCACGACACAGGGCTCTAGGCGAAATTTTCCAGCTCGTTGGTTGCATGTGCTTGGGGCTGGGGATTCATTGATAACAAGGCTGAATCCTGCTATCGGAAGACAAACTTTACAGCATCCTTCAACATGGCTTCCAAACCCTTCAACGTCGCCGTCGTGGGCTACGGTCTCTCCGCCAAGGTCTTCCACATCCCACTCATCCTCGCACTCCCAGAAGACTTCAAGCTCTACGGCATCGTTCAACGATCTCCCAAGCCAAACGACGATGCCTCCAAAGATCATACAGGAATCAAACTCTACCGATCCGTCGACGAAGTCTACCAAGACCCCTCGGTCGACGTCGTAGTCATCACCAGCGTGCCAGAAACACATTTCGACATGTGCAAGTCCGCTCTCGAAGCCGGCAAGAACGTCGTCGTGGAGAAGCCCTTTGTCCCGACCGCAAAGGAAGCAGAGGAACTCGATCAAATCGCCAAGAAGACCGGCAAGCTTCTGACTGTCTACCAGAACCGCCGCTGGGATGCGGACTTCCTCACTCTCAAACAAATCATGTCGGAAGGGTCGCTTGGCGAGATCTCTGAGTTTGAAACGCATTTTGACCGTCATCGACCTGATCCTCCGCCTACCGAAAGCTGGAAGAGCAGAGATGCGCCGGCGCATGGCAGTTTGTACGATCTGGGGACGCATTTGATCGACCAGGTGTATCACGTGTTTGGTCTGCCCAAGCGAGTCACTGCTTTCGTTGGCACGCAGAGGAGAGGGGTTGCAGAAGGCAGTGCTCCAGACTCGCATACGGTGCTGCTTCATTACGACGGACCCTTGTTGGTGACTGTCAAGGCAGGTGTTGTAAGTCCTGAAGTCGAGCAATTGAGGTACTGGGTCAGGGGTACGAAGGGGAGTTTCAAGAAGGTATGGTCTCCTCCAACCAAGCCAGCATCATCGTGATACTGATTCTTGTTCAACAGTTCCACCTCGACGTCCAAGAAGACCAGCTCCGCCTCCACGGCATCGGCCCCGGACACAAGGATTTCGGCGTCGACCCCGAGAGCCACTACGGCACGCTCATTCACATCCCACAAGAAAAGGCAGAGCCTCAGGTGAGGAAGTATCCCACCGTCACACCAGCAACATACGTCGAGTACTACAGGACATTCGCTCGCGCTTTGAAAGGGCAAGGAGACGTCCCCGTCAAAGCATCAGATGCCAGGGACGTGCTGAAGATTATTGAGATGGCAAAGGAGAGTTCGAAAGAAGGGAGGACGATTGTGGTGTCATGATGTCGTCTGATCTAAATTTTCTTGGACTGTCGTTATCATATAGTAATGCAGCGTTAATCATATCACGTAGGCGCAAAGCGCTCTTCATCCAATCTCGTCCCCTCTGCCCAGCTCTCTTCCACCCACTCACTCGTCACGATCCTCGGCAGTTTATGCTTACCAGAGATAGCTCTCCGCATCTCTTTCACAGCATTCGAATCGCCGCCACCCACCACCACAACATGCGTGACCTCCTCCCTCTCCAGCGAAGTCGCCACCAGTCCACCAGCAAACTGAAAAAGCCTCTTCGTCTGCACCGCCACACCTTCCCCAAAGTACGCGATAATCCCATGAAACATCCAACAAGGCATCGCATCAAGTTCATTCCCATGCTCATTCAACTGATCCAGGACCTCCATCGGATCATACCCGTCCTCAATCTTTGGAGGCATATTCTTGAAGAGCTCCAAAAGATCGTCGGATGTCACGTCCCTCGCGTAGGAATCGCCGTACTCGTCGACGTTGTCGTCGTACTTGCCCTCGTTCTCTCCCGCGACGTGGAAGAGATGGTGTGGTTCGAGGGGTAGAAGGAGGGTTGGGCGGCCGATATCGATTTCGCTTTGCTTGATGCAGTCGAGGAGCCAGTTGGGTCGGATGATGTTTCTCTCGTCGCGCTTGGCGATTGATGCGACTTTGACGACTCTTCGGTCTGCGATGAGGATTGTATTTGGGTCCTTTTCAGACGCAACCACCGTGCCGCCGTTCGCTTTGACGAGCGCTTCGAGCTCAGCCTTGGACTTCTTGAGAGGTTTGGGTGCTTCAGTCATGATGAAGAAGGAGAGGCCCTCGAAGACTTTCGTGGTTGGACCAGCGTACGGTGTCTTGACCTCGCCCTCTTGGCCTTGGATAACGATCTGTCGTGGCCGCTTCCTCGACACTCGCTTGTTCTTCCTGGACTCGTCCAGCTTCATCTTCTTCTCCTCACGCTCGCCTTCGACTTTCTTCCTCAGCTCTATAAACTCGTCGCTCGAAAGCGCTTGGTCCCATTTCTTGTCGTAACGAAGCTTCTTGAATCGTGGGAAACGTAGGGTAACGCCCGTTCGGAATTGAGGGGTGGTGTGAACAGAAGCTGCCTTAACAGACACCACGATCGAGTCTTCGGGTTTGATCCAGACATCTGGCCTTTCGTATTGGAGATCGCCTCCGCCTAGCTCGACCCAGTCGTTTGGTGGCTTCTTGGGATCCCAGTCAACCCACTTCCCTTCTGTCCGATGCCGAATCTCTGCGTAGTCACCTGCACTGAAGCCTCCACCGACTTTGAAGAACGAGAAGGTCTTCTGCGGGTTGATGTCTGGAAATGCGGCGCGAAGATCTCCAGGAACGTAGAGGCCACAGAGGAAACTGCTGAGTCCACCTCCTCGCTTGCCAGAGCCGTAATACCCGCCCACAACAACGCAGTCAAGCGATTCACCGAATTCTGTCATATATTCTGGCTTGACTTTGATCCAGTCATCATTTCGCTCATTGAGGCGGTACTCCGATCGAGGATTTTTCAGCACCAGTCCTTCGCTTGATTCGGCGACAACTTTCCGGAGGACTGGCTCAATCTCTGAGGCCTCCCGAGCTTCTTGAAACTCATGAATCTCTAGGCGACGTTGAATGCTGGAAATGCTGGCGGACAATGCTTTGCGGCGGTCGCGCAGTGTATACCGGGTCAAATCTTTGTCGTTGAGGTACAGAATGTCAAATACCCGATAGAGAGGTCGATTGCCTGTAGAGAAAGGATTCGCTTGCTGGTCAAGCGCGGCAGTTTTGAGAGTACCAAACGGCACGATAGCATCTTCCTTGGGATCCCAAGTGATCATCTCTCCGTCCAGAATGAGATTTCGAACACCTTCAGAAAAAGCATCCCTGATGTGTCGTGTAAGTGCCGCGTTGTCGTCGTTAAAGCTACTGCCGTAGAGGTAGGTGTAATCCTTCGCCTTTCGAGACCAAAACTTGAACTTACGCTCAGTGGGGTCCTCGTCATCTTCGATCATGTGCAATTGCATTCTTTCGCCGTCCAGCTTCTCTTCGATCCAGAATACGGGATCCTCTTCGGTCGGGTTCATCTTGGCTACCATTTGCTCCATGGATCGCATCTGGAATGCTGCGAGTTGTGGTTGGAAACATTGCATCAGCGCGATTCCCCGGTTGTCTCCCTCGAGCCGTACTTGAGGATCGTACAGCTCCCAGCACACACGGCGGAGATTGCTCGAAATGTTGAAGAGGTTTTCTGCATCCGGGTGCCATATGTCAAAGAAGGTCTTTTCGGTTGCGCCAACTTTCATCTGCCGCAAGATCATGCGAATGAGCCACATGAGCTCGTCGGCGTTCATTCGATTGTAGAAGTCCTCAAGAATCGGGAGCTGATTCTCTTCCTTCTGTGCCATGGAGAGTGCATCAAGGCGTTCGTTGACCTCTGCAATAGTCATGTCGCCTGGGGTCGTTCTCAATGGTCGCTTACTGATGACTTCGTAACATCTCCCAGCGAAGTCGCCAGCCATTGCTGTCGAGGCTTTGAACCCGGGCAATTTCCACTTGAGTAGATTTTGCGCATCGTCGCTGTCCTTTTTGATTTTGACAATCTTGATGATCAATTTGGCGAGAGTCTGTTCTTTGAGTCCGTACATTGCTCGATCTCGATCCTTCTCGGGGACAATCAAACGAAATGCAGGGTAAATGTCCTGACCAACTTCCTTGCGCCATCTTGAGATGAATCGATCAATGATCGAACGTCGGATCTCATTTGGAGCGTGGCTTGCTCCATGAGGGCCTTGCTTCTTCCGAGGTAGTGCCGGTCCTGTGGGCTTCTTTTTGTTGTCGTTCAAGGGGTTGAAAAGGGTGAGATAGAGCTCATGGAAAGGTAAAGTTTTGGAGTGATTGTGAGGACGATTTGGATATTTTTCATCGAGTTCTTGCTCCGTCATGGTGCCATGGCCGTACATCATGTGCTCCTCCTTCGCCGCCTCCTCGTCCTGCATCTCGACGTCGCCGTTGGCCATGTTGGATATGTGGCAAAGATGCCGAGACGTCGGGTTCTTCAATTCGGGACAGATTCGTCTTGTTTTGTTCTCTCGCAATTTGTAGGAGAATAGGCGAGAGTACAACAGAAGGTAACATGTTGAATGATTTCCAATTCCATATTCAGAGGAAGTGATGTTCGGGAGAGGCAACCACGCTAGTGACACGCGCTAGCCATGCGAGATCACGTGCAAGAGTTTCACGGTTGAAACATGGCAACACTCCCCGGCGACATTGGCGACGCTTACGAGACGCTTTGTTTCGCGGCTAATGATAGAAACAGGCTGTCAACACCAGATGCACTCGCCCAACTTCCCTCCTCCCCCCACAGACCGCTGAGTCGACAATGGTGGCCTTTCGCTGGCCATCACCACGCAGCTCCTGCGGTCATGCCGACGCCGTCGAGACCGTCAAGAGCTTCCTCCGTCGCTAGCGTCGATACTACGGCCTCGCAATCCAGCGCTGCTCTGCTTGGAGCCACCAAGGCTTTCGTAAGAGCAGCTCCCCAGCAACGGACTACTTCAGCGTCCGACGTGCGCGGCAATGGAGCACTGGCGGCTGCCTCTACGGCTGGCAGCGGAAGTGGAAGCAAGACGCCCGTCTCCCGTTCCCCACGTCCTCCCCCGGCATCACGAGAACCTAGCGTTGGCCGCGAGAGCGTGAAGGAGAAGGCGCAAATGGACATGTCGAAGTTTCCAAGTCTGGCGCCGCCCCAGCAGGCGCGGCCGCCGCATAGCAGGAGCCCTTCCCATCAGGCTGCCGTTCTGGCAACCTCACGTGCCCAGCCGACGGCATCCACTTCCACCACTTCAGAGAAGCCAGGAAGACATCCTCCCGGAACAGGCTCCAAGAGGCCTGCTGTTGCACCAAAACCTCGGAGACTGAGTGAGCACTTCAAGCCCAGCAATGGCAAGAGCGACAAGCCTACGGACACCACCCCAATCGCCCCCACCACGTCACTCGTTGATTTGTTCGAACGGAGATTGAAAGAGACGCAAGACTCGCCGGGAAAGAGGCCAGAACCGATCGTTATCAAACCTAGCAACGAGCTCACGCTGAAGAGTCCAAAGCCAGTGAGATCAGGCATCACTTCTATGTTGCAGTTGGAGCTTGGAAGTGAGAAAGAGGATAAGAGATCCCAAGACATCGGCCCATCGTCTGGAGAGAGGCATGACTCTATTGGGCAAGGCAAAGAAGGAAGACCCTCCTCCGATGATTCCTTTGCGTCTGCTTCAGAAGATCTGAATCCACGAAGCCCTCCGAGCAGCCCACCCCGTGCTCTTCCAATTCGCAGTGTGAAAACGGCGAGTCCGTCACCGGGCCACACTCTGAAAGTTGAGAACGAGGCGAAGAGACGACCTCAAGTCTCTCCATCTCCTTTGCGTCAAACAGCCTCCAAACCAATTGAGATCAAGCCACCACGACGTCCTTCGACGGCACAATCTGATACGCTTTCTGCATCTTCGTCAAAATCACTCAGGAGCATACCAGCTCAATTCAACCAGGCGTATCCACGCCGAATGACACCATTGACCACAGGGGATGAACTTGCCAACGCACTGGTTGCATCGAGCCTAGCCTCATCTCGTGGCCCTTCACCAAAACGATTCGACCCACCGGCAGCCCCTTACCGCAAGAAGAACCACCATCATCATCACCATCACGGATTGTCTTTTTCTCGTACACCTAGTCCAAAGAAGGGGGCTATGCTGCACACTTTGCGCAAGAAGGACGACTCATCATCGGACAGCGAAAGTGATCCGCATCCATATGCAAAGCACAGGAAGAAGCGACTTGTACGGAAACACCCAAACAAACATCATGAGGGTGACCGAAAACGCTGGCGCGATGCAGTGACAGAACGCGAACGCAAGCGATATGAAGGAGTATGGGCGGCGAACAAAGGCATGCATTACTCGTTCACCTATGAAGAGATTCACTTCTTCGAGAGAGCACCAGACCATCCACGGACGAAGGAGACGAAGACCGCTGTCCAAGACCAGGTATCCAATCTCGTGGCGCGAGACATTTGGCTTCGATCGCGATTACCGCCTGCAGTCTTGGAAACGGTCTGGGATCTGGTGGACCACGACAGCGTAGGACGTTTGCACAAGGAGGAGTTCGTTGTGGGTATGTGGCTCATCGATCAGCGACTGAAGGGTCGCAAATTGCCTACGAGGGTTACAGAGACGGTTTGGGCGAGCGTTAGAGGGATACAAGGTATCAAGATCAAGAAATGAGGCACCTACAACTACTACGGCAGACTGCTGCCACTTGCATGGATCGGAGTAGGATTTAGCGCGAGATACCCAATTGTACTGGATAGAGATTTCAATAGACCTTTTCATATCCCATGGCCATCTTTGGCATTCCCACGAAAATCGAATGCGACTACGCCCCTTTTACAAGTCGCAGTGGCGAGGATGTGCACACTGGCCAGGGGTGCTCTACTCGTGTGCGACCAGTGTCAACCCCCAACGCCTGCCATTTCACTCAAAGTGGAGCACTCATCCCAGGTTCTCGTGAGCTGTCTAAACCATTCAAAATAGGATAAGAGCTTGGTCACTTGAGACCATCAGAGAGATGGCGGTTGCATTCGTTCGATCTTGAGCGGTTTGAGGAGAGTACCTACCAGGCCCAGATCAACTCCCCAAGACCGAACAAGAGCGAAACATAAATCGATCCCCCGAAGCTTCCCTCGACCAAGCTATCAGCAACGGTGCCAGTAGACCGCCAAGCTTCCAAGATCTACGGCAGTCTTTCTATGGACCCGAACTCATTCGTACAGATTGAAAGCTTCTCAGTTGAAACATACAGGCTCCATATACTCGGCATGAACGATCTCCGCAACAGAACCCTTAACCCTCCCCGACTACGCAACCAAGGCTCTGCCAATGATCGTCCAAATAGGCTCATTAAAGACGATCTGCTCTGGCTGCCATACAAGGCCACATTCGAGGCCACGGATCTCAGGGACAAGATCTTTGCCTTGATAGGCATCATGCGTGGGCCTTTACGTGCTCAGATCAACATCGACTCCACGGCGTCTCTGGAAGACCTCAGGATGAAGCTGATGGTTGACCAAAATCAGCCGCTCATCTAACGAAAGAACCTCCCACGCCAGAAACCTAGTCACCCCAATGCCCCCTCGCCCACCCCACCGCCCTCTCCGCCGACGAACCCGGAACAAACGCCTTCGTCCTCGGCCCCTCCTCCCCCTCATCCCCCTCCCCCTTAACCCTCAAACTCTCCACCATAGCAAACCTCGCCCTAGGATCCCCCTCAAACAAATCCCCCACAGCATCGCAAATCATCCCCAGCGTCACGCCCTCTGCACACCCCCTCCTCAACCTCTGCTCACACTTCGGCACCCCCGCGTCATAATCCAGATGCGTCACGAACGGCGCGCGTCCGGACCCCAGTTCGTAGAAACATCGCGTATACCAGAAATGCGTGAAGGGCGGGGAGGTCGCGAGCATATCTCGCCAGGGGCCTGGGGCAGGGAGGCGGGTGTACTGGGCGCGGCTGATTTCGAAGGAGAAGGTCCAGTGTTTCGGGGTTGTGGGGTGGATGTCGGAGGGGGTGGTGGTGGTGGTGGTGAAAGTGTCGAAGGGGTAGGCGGAGCCCCAGCTTCGTTGGTGGAGGAGGAGGTTGGGAATCCAGGGGTTTGGGTCCGCTGGGGGAAAGGAGTGTTTTTCGCTCCAGGTGAGTCTGTCGGCGGCGGAGGTTGGGGTCGGGAGGTAGAGGGTTTTGCGGATGGGCGGGGAGTCGAGGATGAGGTTGTGCCAGGTCCGGGTGGTTGTGCGGGCGAGGAGGATGGTGCGGATGGAGGTGATTTCTTGGTGGATGGTGTCGTGGGGGAGGGAGAGGAGGATTAGTTCGAGGAGTTCGGGGATGTTGAAGACTCTGGTTGCGCTGTTCATTTTAGAGGTGGAGTGTGAAGGTCTTGTGGCGTTGGCATTCGAGTTGATTCGGTTTCTGGCTTGAGCAATCGCAAATGTGAGTGTAGAGTAGTTCATCAACGGATTGATCGGCATAGAGAGTATTGATAGGTGAAGCTTGGGTAAGGTTCGTGATAGCTCTCTTGTCCACCTGCCCGAGGTCTGCCTTGCAGGTTACCCTCCTTGTTCCGGTCAAAGTGGAACATTTATCCCCATTACTTCCAAGCTATCTAAACAGCTCGGAGTGTACAGTAATTAGCAGGGCAGTCGCTTGTAAAAAGTCGGAGAGATGGCACTTCCATTGCGGTATAGGACGTTCCACTTTGACCGGAGCACCGAGGGTAGAGCTCCAGTGTGTGGGTTATGTAAGATCACGCGAAATGACACAAGAGGAAACAAAGACTGCAGGAAGAGGTAGATGTCCTTACCTGTTAAGTATATCGCTGACCGCATGGCTTCTCCATCGACCACGCGGCGGATTCGCGCAGATCACACTCTCAAACATGTAGTCCGGTGGGAAGAGTACATCTTTGTTCGCCTCTCATGACAAACGAAACGAACAGAGGGAGACTTTCAGCTCAGAAGGTCGAGCTCACTGACTGCTTTTGCTTCCCATGCATTTCGCCTCATTATGTCTCGCGTCGATTTCCAAGCCTCCATCGTTGAAGGGTTCCGGCTCGTGCTATCTTTCCCCCCGGGATTTGTATGCGTATGAATCCACGACCAGGAGGTATTGCAGCTGTCGAGGTTTGCTCGTGGAAAGGGAATGGCTTCCTGTCTTCTCCGTGATCGAATAGCGGAAACGACCACCGAAGATAACAACAGATGGACGATACAAGGACTAGATAAGAGACAACGGAGCGCTTCATCACGTTCTCACGTGTCGTTGGTCAGGGCCGTCAGGCTCCTAAAATTTGAAGTTGGTCTTTCTGTTGGGGGACAAGTGTTCTGTTCCAGCCGAGACGGCACAATCAAGCCAACAGCAGGCGAGGTGACATTCGGCGCACGAAGCACCTTGTTCTTGGCGGAGTTATGCCGTGGTGGAGCGAAAGAGGAGAGTGGTGCTCAAAATGAGGGCGAATTGAAGCTCAGTGTTTCGGCAGTTGGGAAGTGTGTTTCCAAACACATTAGCATAGTGGGTTCTGAGAAAGCCACAAATCTGCAGACGGAAATGTCTGTGGATTATCGATTCTCTCGCCATAGCTTGCCCAATCCATGGTGTTCAAGACTCAAGCCACCACTTTGTGTCCCGCCTCGGCCCACGTCAAAGGCCTCTCAGTGGCACTCGCCTCGAGCTCGACACCAACAGCACCCAGCTCCGAGACTACAAATTTCTTTTCAGCAGCAACTGCCGCACTTCCTCGCGACGGTGGAGTTGCGGCAAAATAAATCGAGCATGGTCATCATGTCCCATGTTGCATTGTCTCTTCCCGTCTCCGTCTCAGCCTCACTATGGACAACTGCCGTGGATGGATGAGAGTACAAATATAGATAGAGCTCTCATGGTAGCGCCTGCAGTTTACGTGACGATTTGTTGCTTTTGTTGTTTCTGCTGCTACTCCCCTCCTCCCAGTCTGCTGGTTGTTGAACTTGCAATCTCGTGCTCTGTTCCCTGTCCACGCTTCCGCGATGCCCGCCACCAAACTTCCCTTCCATGCCGACCACATTGGCTCCCTGATCCGACCAGCGTCCGTTTCAGAAGCGCAGGAGAAAGCCGACGCGAGACAAATAACGCAGGAACAGCTGAGAGAGGTGCAGCAGAAGGAGATTGCGGATATTGTGAAGAAGCAGCAGGATCATGGGGTTCGTGCACTCTGCTCGGGAGAGTTCGACAGGAAGTACTACTTCTCGGGGTTCTTTGAGAAGCTGGATGGCTTCAAGGAAGTGAGTCCCGTGCCCTGGGATCTGGCTCGTCTTTCTGCGGCGCCGATCAAGGCTCTCAAGAATGCCGGCAAGCAGTATCCCATGGCCGCGATCTGTGATGGCAAGATCAAGTACTCCAAGAGCCCTTACCTTGACAACTGGAAGTTGTTGCGGTCGTGTGTGCCCAAGGAGCAATGGGGAGAGTGCAAGTTTACCATGCCGCCTCCTTGCTATTTCCATTTGAGACTCGGCCGCGGCAAATGCTATAGCAAAGATGCGTACGCGAACGATGTCGACTTCTTTGCGGATTTGGCTGCTGCGTACAGGCAGGAGTTCAAGACTCTTTACAACGAGGGTCTTAGGAATATCCAAATTGACGATCCAACTTTGGCATACTTCTGCTCCGAAGATATGCTGAAAGGTCTCCGTGAGGACGGCGAGGATACGGACAAGATGTTCGATCTGTACTTGAAGGCGCACAATGACTGCATCGCCGATCGTCCAGACGATCTCCATGTGGGCTTGCACATCTGTAGAGGTGAGGGTGTCGAGCAACTGCAAATGCCTGAAATGGTTAGCTAATGTATACTGTCTCATGCAGGCAACTTTTCCAAGTCAATGCACTTCAGCGAAGGATCGTATGAGGCGATTGCGGAGCGATTCTTCAAGACTCTGAATTACGACACCTTCTACCTCGAGTATGACAACCCACGATCCGGAGGTTTTGAGCCGTTGAGATTCCTCCCCAAGCACAAGAACGTCGTCTTGGGGGTCATCACCACCAAAGATCCTCAGCTCGAGGACAAGGAGCTACTCAAGACTCGCGTGCGTGAAGCGGCGCAGATCATCGCCAAGGGCCAAGGTCGGAGTGTTGAGGAGGCGATGGAGAACATCGGCATCTCGCCACAGTGTGGTTTCGCGAGTGTGGCTGTTGGTGCGGAAGGCATGACGGAGGAGAAGATGTTTGCGAAGCTCAAGCTGGTGCAAGAAATTGCCCGTGAGCTTTGGCCAGATCGACCTTGATGGTGTAAGTCATCTCACGTGGCCATGTGTTAAATACATGTAGTGAATCAATCCATTACTCCAACACCCTACGTCGACTCGAATTTCCCCGACTTCACATGACATTCATATTAGCCGCCAGTCGGCCCAAAAAATGTCGAAATCATCACATGAAAAAGCGGTTGAATGGAGGAGCAGCTCGGCTCGGCCAATGACAAGCCCACAGCCTAGCAGGTGGCTAAGAAATGCACGGTGGCGCCCTCGTCGTTCTCGCATCTTTCCTCTCAACCGCATCAATTATCTCAGCAACCAGTTTTCGCCTACCTGCAGGCTTGTCCAGGCCGGGTGGAAAAGCGCAGAGCAGCAGGCTAGCGAGGCGTGAAACCGTAGATCTCGGTCCGATGCGAGCCTGGTTCTGTTGGGGGAGATTGGCGATGGGAGCTCGGCGCCGTGGTATGGCATACCTTGCTCGCCGCAATCTTCTAGGTCAGCAAACAGCAACACCTACGAGAAGTTTATATAGGCACGAGGAGGGAGTCGAGACGGCAAAGGAGAAGGTCACGGCCGCGGCGGCGGTGGCTGGTGCATTTTTCAGTCAGGAGGAGGGGCTTGGCGGATCTGCTAATGGGGCGCCGGGACCCTGATTCTGGGGGGTGTGGACTAACAAAAATTCCAATGGACAGTAGTAGACCGCTTCGCCCACGCGCCCAGAGCTCCTACAAGTAATAACACCTCGCTTCACCCACTCACTCGCTCTCCGCTCCCTCCTCCTCTCTGCTCCCGACCTCTCACTCACCCACACTCTCGCTGCCTCCTTGCACGCCCAGAGCGGCACTCGATCCACTTAAATACCGCATATCGAGAGCTGGGTCTGATTCCCAACGCTCAACCCGCACCCCGAATCGCCCACAGCGACAGCCCAACGCCGCCCTCACACTCCCTCTTTCACATCACATCCGTCAAAATGGCCACTACCGCTCGGCCGCAGCACGCGGCAATGAGACGCACCATCACCGTCGACTCGATGCCCTCCACCACCACCAACTCCACCGTTGGCTCGCCCAACGACTCGCCCACCGCATCTGCCTCCTCCACCTCCTTGTCCTCGTTGGGCTCCGTCGAGGACTTCCAGCAAGAGCCCAAGAAGCTTCGGGACACATACGGCAACGAGTTCGAATTGCCCAACTACACAATCAAGGATATCCGCGATGCCATTCCTAAGCACTGTTACGAAAGGTCAGGCCTGACTGGTCTGTCCTACGTTGCCAGGGATATCGTCCTCCTTGGCGGCACATTCTACCTCTTCAACCACTTCTGCACTTCGGAGTATGTTCCGTCATATCCTGCACGTGCTGCGCTGTGGGCCGTCTATACGTTCCTCCAGGGTCTCTTCGGCACTGGTCTGTGGGTGTTGGCTCACGAGTGCGGTCATCAGTCTTTCTCTCCCAGTAAGACTTTGAACGACACCGTTGGCTGGATCTGCCACTCTGCTCTTCTGGTCCCTTACTTCAGCTGGAAGATTTCTCATGGCAAGCACCACAAGGCCACCGGCAACATGGAGCGTGACATGGTGTTCCTCCCACGCACGCGTGAGGAGCATGCCACTCGTATGGGTTACGTTCTGCATGAGATGCACGAGTTGATGGAGGAGACGCCCATCTACACTGCCTCGATGCTCATCGGTCAGCAGCTCTTCGGATGGCCATATTACCTGTTTGCCAACGTGACTGGCCACAACCAGCACGAGAAGCAGCCAGAGGGCAAGGGTGTTGGCAAGAAGAATGGAGACTTCTCAGTCAACCACTTCTTCGCCAGCAGCCCTCTGTACGAGAAGAAGGATGAGCACCTCATCCTGCTCTCGGATCTTGGCCTTTTCATCGTTGGCAGCATCCTCGCTTTGATCGGCAGCACATACGGCTGGACCAACCTCTTGGTGTGGTATTTCATCCCATACCTCTGGGTGAACCACTGGCTCGGTATGTCGATGTATGAGCGGTTTGAGTTTTCCTTTGCTAACATCAGTCACAGTTGCCATTACCTACCTCCAGCACACTGACCCATCTCTCCCACACTACACTGGTGAGGCATGGAACTTCGCTCGCGGCGCCGCAGCTACCATCGACCGCGAATTCGGCTTCATCGGACGCCAGCTCTTGCATGGCATCATCGAAACCCACGTCCTCCACCACTACGTCTCCACCATCCCATTCTACCACGCCGACGAAGCCACCGAAGCCATCAAGCCAATCATGGGACGCCACTACAGGTCGAACACCGAGGGAGGTCCTCTTGGCTTCCTTCGATCTCTGTACAGCAGCGCGCGATGGTGCCAGTGGGTCGAGCCAAACGAGGGTGCTCAGGGCGAGCAGGCCAAGGTCCTCTTCTTCCGCAACAGGAACGGTCTCGGCCTTCCACCAAGCAAGATCGACGCCCCCAAGTCAAGAAAGAGCATGGTGGTTGGTGATGACAGCGAGTAAGAGACGGTCAAGCGAGCCGGATTGCTCCAGGCGTTTTGAAATATGTATTTGGCGCAGGTCCTACTGTGGACTTTTCCTGTCACTCGCTCTCAAGGGGGAAACGAGTGCGACAGTTGATTGAAAGCTTGAGTGCGCCAGTGGAAGCGCGGCGTTTGGGAGTCGAGCGACCATGGATGTACATCATGGCGCATCGTGATTTTTGGATTCCGACAGAAAGCCCTGCACGAGCATAGAGGCAGGGCTTGTCAACCTCTAGAGAAAGACGCTCGACACACGGTTTAGAAGCAGGTGTAATTCATAGAAGTCGCAAAATGAAGACGAAAGTTGCGATATACAAGATCATCGAAGGAAGGAAGGAGCTAGTACAAAGGTAAGAAGAGTGAACAAGTTACGAGTTGAATGCGAATCCGCGTGAAGTGGAGAGTGATGCAATGATGAGAAAGAAGAAGAGCAAAGAGCAATAGCTTCGCGGGATACACGGCTCTTCTACTTGTCCCATGTGCCATGCGCTGGCCGGGAGTTGGAGCCTCTCGCGTCCCGTCTTGGGACTGTGTGCTTAGCTCTTGGTGTACTGCGGGTTGCTTATAGGTGGGATAGGTAGCGAGGAAGTAGGTAAGTAGGCAGGTGTTGCGCTGTCAGCAAGCAATGTCTGTCTGTCGATTTCTTACCTTGCATTGCATTGCATTGCATGTTTGTAGGCACGTGTTTAGTGATTGCTCTCGATGGATTGGTAGAAATCTCTCAACTGCCCCATCTCGTCCATCGAGATACAAACCACCTATCGATCGTGCATCCTCCCCTTCCTCCTCACAATAACCTCCTCATCAAGCAATAAACGCCTTCCCCGAAACGTCCCACTGACTATCGAAAAACCCCATCGCCAAAACCCCCTCCAACCCCTTCCACAGCACCTCCCGATTCAGCACCACGAAATCCGGAACCCCCGTCCCGGTCATCGTGGGGACGAACCGCGCCGCCAGCGCAAGACTCTCGAGATCCGCGCCCCAGACCACCAGCTCTAGACGCTCGTCAGGCAGAGGGCGGAGGAAGACCGCCGCGAGGCCCAAGCCGGCGATGTTGGGGATGAGCGTGGGGATGTTGTTCGGGCCGCGGATGAAGACGGCGTCTCCTCCGGCGCGGATTTGGATGGGGAAGTCTTTGTATATGGGACAAGGGGGGAGAGAGGCGCCTGTGGCGAGGGAGATGATGTTGCCGGTTGTGTTGTGGAGGGCGGTGGCGTAGGTTGTGGTGAGGGAGGTGTCGGCGGAGAAGTATTGGTGGAGGTTGCGGGAGATTTGGAGGGCGAGGGGGGAGGCTTGGGGGGTGTGTGGGATGATGTGGAAGGGGCCGTTGGTGTGCAGGATGGAGTCTAGGGGGCCGAGTTGGTGGCCTAGGCGGGTTGGGGGGTGGGTTTTGAGGGGGGTGGTCTCCCATTTCTCGGACTGTTTTGTGAGTGTGCTTGATGCGTCGGATTGCTCGAAACTGATGGGCATCTTTTGGTTGTCGACTTGCACGAAGCTGCAATCTCTGAAGTATGGCGGCAGTCTGAACATCCGGAGGTTGGTCGTTCGGACAATACATGCCAGAGTCAAGGGATCGAAAGCCACATCGATACGGGCAAGTTGTCCTGGAGTGGCCAGTTGAAGGACTTCAACTCCATGCTTTGAGCCAGTATCTCCTGGGTTCGCCACCACTAGCGAGAAGTCGCGTAAATTCAGAGGTGTGCCTTTGACGGAGGCGACTTCGAGAGAGATCTGGCGTTCGTAGAAGTCGGTCAGGGCCTCCGTAGTGTAGACTCCGTCCCAGTAATGTCCTTCACCAGGAACCTCGAAGTACTGACTATCGGCGCCGGCTTCTTGAATGAGCTGGCTCATCAGCCTCGAGTGATAGGCCGGTACGTTGTCATCGGCCCCGCCGTGTTGCTGCAGGACCGGGATGCCTTTCGCATTTGACAGTAGAAGCTCATGTTTATAGCTCAGGAGAGCGGCTTCCTTGATGGCCGTACGACCTGGATCAGCCACGTGCGAGAAGGTGTACGGTACGTAATTTTGGATGGAAGAGTAGCCACTTATAGGGGCTGCGGCAAATATCTTGTCAGGACGATGCGTCAACGCGTACCATGTGCCCTGACCGCCGTTCGAATGGCCTGCTACCAGCCATTTGTTCTCGTCAACGCCTGGGCCTTTCCAGTCGAAGCGTTCGATCCGGTCTTCAATCATCGCTACGGCCGCTTCGACGTCTGCGAATCCCCAGGAATGCCAATCGTCTCCACTCCAGTTTGTGCCTCCCGTGGGAAAGAGCACCCAGGCTTGTAAATCGGGCAGTGGATCCATGACTTCTCTGACCACATCGCTGTCTACATCGACACCAGCTCCGTGGAGGTTGAGAAGAATGGGAAACGTTTGATTTGTTCGTGCGGGTTGGATCGCTTTTCGAGATGGAGGACGAAGAATTGCGTAAGACACAACACCACCAGGATGCATAAAGGTGACTTTGTGGGCTTTACCTGCTGGAACAATACGAGGTTCTGCAGATACTACGAGCGTTGTGTCTTCATCATGTCCCTGGACTCGATACTGAAAGTCGATGTTGATGCGCTTCTGCGATGGATATTGGCCGCTTGGTGGGATGCACTTGATGCGAAATGCGACTGGTCTTGTCTGGCCAGGAACGAGTCTGATCCTCGAGGAGAGCAGTTCCACGCGGCCGATATTTGGGTTGATGTGGATGCCAGTCATCTCAACATCCTGATGGCCATCGTTTCGTAGCACGACTGAGGCATACGGGCTCGCTAACGAAGCTCCTTCGCCAATGAAGTCAGAGAGAAGAACAGTTGATGTTTCCGTCTGCGTGATTGCCTTCAATCCTGGGGATATCTTGCGTAGGTCCAGATTGATTTGCATGTCTGGATGACTTACACCGCCCATGGACCTAATATCTCTGACAAGCCGCACATCGAGAAGATGAATGCCAGGGGCTAGTCTGATTGTGATGGGCACTCGCTTGTAGTCGTAGAAGTCGCCGCCAAAGTAGTGCACATCGTCAACCCAGAACTCGAGGATTTGGGGTGTATAGAGTGCCACGTATTCGGTCTCGTCTCCTTGAACGACGATTTGGCCTCTCGCCCAGGCCTGCCATTGGTATGCTGCCCAGCCATAGACATCTCGAAGGGCTTTCCAGTCGATGTCGGGAAAGCTGACGTTCAGTTCTGCGGTCGTGTGAAAGATGTCCGGAACGGGGACTTTGGCGGTCAAGTTCGACCACCGAATCGTACCATTGGCAGCCAGAGAACTTCGAAAGGTCGTTGCGTTGTTGTATTCGAGAGCACGGAAGCCTCCATGTTGTTCGAGAGGATCTGCTCCCCAAATGGCCTCTGTCACGCATATGTGAGCGGATTTTCACCATTGTTGATCGACCACATCACCTCTCGTGCCAATCTGAAATGGACCAAGGACTTGCCAGGAGGTCAAGAATGATACTGTCGGGAATTGCAAGGCATCGTTGCTCTCGGTGGCTGGCAGTGAATGACTGGAGTAAGAAAGAAGATGCTGCACCACACGACCGAGCAACATGTTCCGTATTCAATGCATTGCATGAAGTGTCGTATCCTGCTCTATCGAAATTATACGCGCATGGCCACGCTTGTTGCCTTGTAGGATCGAAGTGCGTGAGCAATACGAACCGTAGTAGCATCCTTCTTGACAGTGCATGCGTCGGGAGTGCGGGGGCGCCCCCGACTGACTGCGTCCTTCTGATGAGGAGAGATTCACATGGCCACGCAATGGTTTTGCATTTCGCATGCTCCCTCCATCACCAGTCTCTGCCCTCTCTGCAATCACTCACATCGCTCGCGGTGGTAATCGCTACACGTCAGCGGGGTGAGCGATCTTCGCACCGCTAGATTGGGTCCTGTGAGAGAGGCTGGTAGCTACAAATCATACCAGCGCACCCGTTAATCTACCCTCGATCGTCCTCCTCTGCTTCCCACCCACCGCACCGAATTCTCCGACGACGCTAGCCGAACCGCCTTGCGAACACCTGCGCGCCGCGATGGAGCGATAGTCCTGCCGTCCGCATTACTGCACTCGAGCAATGGTTCCCCACGCGACCTCAGGAGTGGAGCGTCGCCGCTCGTCCTCCAGACACCCGGCTCCTTCGAAATTCAAGTTCCCCGACTTCAACAATGACCACGCCGTCGAGTTTGAGGAGGATGAAGAGGATGGGATCTCGCGAGGGCCGAGTCCTCGGCCGCTGCCCAATGGCCTACCGCCCGGCCTGCACTCGAGCGAGCGCTGGCCGCCGCGAAAAGAGACGTCGTTGAGGAGTTGGGCTTCGTGGGCTGCGAATGGGAAGTTGGGCGGCACAAGACCTAATCGGCAGAAGAGTCTGGGCGAGGCGATCAAGACGGTGAGGACACGAAAGGCGAGCATCAGCCAGAATGCGCACGAGATTGCAGAGTCGCTCAAAGCGCCTGTGTCCCTGAGGCTAGTTGTACGTCTACCCAACACTCCATCCTGTATCATTTCTACAGCTGCGCTAATACGAACAAAAGCTCCTCTGCAGCTTCTGGTACGCGTCGTCAATCCTCACGAATACCTCGTCGAAAGCTATCCTGACCGCCCTACCGAAACCTATAACTTTGACCGTGGTCCAGTTCATGCTCGTGTCCTTCTGGTGTATCTTCCTCTCATGGCTCGCCAAACGCAACGTCGCCGTTCGGGAAGCTTTACCAGTGTTGAAGAATGGCATTCGAAGACCAAACAAGGACATCATCATGGCCACTCTCCCTCTCACTGCCTTCCAAATCGGAGGCCACATCCTAAACTCGGACGCAATGTCAAGGATCCCCGTATCACTAGTCCACACGATCAAGGGACTGTCACCGCTCATGACTGTCGTCGCCTATCGCGTCTTCTTCGACATTCGATATTCAACAACCACCTACCTATCTCTAGTCCCGCTCACACTCGGGGTTATCTTGGCGTGCTCGGCAAGTCTCGCCGGAAACTTCCTCGGCCTGGCGTATGCTTTGGGCAGCGCAGTGCTCTTCGTCACGCAAAATATCGTCTCCAAAAAGATCTTCAACGACGCAGCCAAAGCTGAAGCCGACGGCACGCCGATTGGAAGGCGCAAGCCTGATAAGCTCAACTTGCTTTGCTATTCCTCGGCTCTGGCGTTCCTCTTCACATTCCCGCTTTGGCTCTGGTCGGAGGGCTTCTCCATGGCGGCCGACTTCATGAAGGACTGGTCGATTGACCTACGGGAGAGACCGGGTTCGCTGGATCATGGGGCCTTGATGGCTGAGTTCATCTTCAATGGGACTTTCCATTTCGGACAGAGCTTGGTGGCTTTTGTGCTGCTGGGCATGGTGTCGCCTGTAACGTACTCGGTTGCGAGCTTGATCAAGCGGGTTGTTGTCATCATGTTCGCGATTGTATGGTTTGGCAATCCCATGTCGGGGATCCAGGGAATCGGGTTTGGGCTGACGTTTGTCGGGCTCTACCTCTACGACCGCACTTCAGATGCCGCGAAAGCTGATAAGCGCGCGAGAGAAAAGGCGGAGAGCAAGGAGCCTTTATTACCTATCAACGTGGCGGACGCCAAGAAGAGCGGCCCCGCCATGTTCACCCAGTCGCCCATGAGCGCTGGTGAAAACCTCCACGCAGGAAGCAATGGCTACGCAAACGGCGAGCCCGGAGGCAGCGGGCCAGGGCGACCACACATGAACGGCACCGCATCGCCTAACAACGCGAACGGCGTGGCCATGTCATTACCGCCCGGCACCAAAGCAGAAGAAACCTGGACCTCAGGCGACGTCGCGCGGCAGCAAAGCGTGAAGTCCAACGGTGTAAGATAGATAGCATGTCATATCATAGCAAAGCATCCATAACCTTCTCCAAAAACCTCTGCCGTGACCTCTCCACCTCGCCCTTGGCGACCATACTCGCAAACTCCATCGCCCGACACCTCGCCTTCCAATCCACATTCTCCTCCACCATCCCGGCGCCGCCGTGGAAGTCCTTGACGGAGGATTTGTAGATTTCCGCCAGGGCTTCTTCGAGCCAGCCTTGTTTGGTGATGTTCTTCATTGCTTCGAGGGTTTTGCGCACGACGAGGTCGTGCGTGGATTCCCCGGGGTTGTCGGAGGAGGAGGAAGGGAAGGTGGTGGAGGTGGAGGTGGAGAGGGGCCCGGAGGAGAGGGAGAGGTTTTTGAGTTCGAAGGTGCCCATGCAGCTGCCTTGGGAGACGTGCCAGTAGATGTCGAAGACCTTGTAAATTCACGTCAATACGCCTGCGGTTAGGTTGGGGTGTATCGGGTTTTGGACGTTACCTCTCGACAATCCTCCACGGACTCATCATATGTAATCTCCTCGTATCCATCTGCATCTGTCCGGAATCGCGTGACGTTGATCCGTTTCCCGTGGCCGGCTGTAGGGCCCAGAGGGACATTGAACTGATCACCTACACCGAGCCACGAGGCCGCTGTGAGTCTCGCTAGATCCTCGCGAGGGTTCCCAGCGTCTGTTCGGGGGACATTCAATCGGTCTAGTATCGAATCCGCCAGACGTTTCCCTTCGTCGCCAGTTAGACGTTGTCTGCGACCTCGTATATCGGCTCGGAGGAGGTCGCTCGCTACTACACGCCGGAGGTTTTCGAATGAGAAATTGGGAGGGCGGTCTTCGATCGTTCGGTCTGCGTTCAATTGAGCTTGCAAGGCAGCGACTCTGCTAGGGTCATCGGAGTCGCTTCGCGTTTCGCTTTCGTTTGTTTCGCCGTTGACGAGGAGGGTCGGTGGGGTTGCTAGACGTACTGGACCGCCTGTGTGAGGCGGGACCTGGAGTGAGAGGCGACCTGGGCGTCCCTCGCCGGGCTGGGATAGGGGTGTGCTGGCTTGAGGGGATGGTTGTTCTATGATATTTTTGTCTGGAGGCGTGGGTGCGGTGGAGTTGGCTTGACTCTTCGATTTGGCGTTCGTTGGGTCTGCAGGGAATGTACTGAATGGACCATCTTGTGTGTTACGATTTGCGGGTGGTCGACCCCTGGGTTTGGCACCGGGAGCACTATTCGAAGGCCAGGCGCTTGACACTGCTGGACCATGTCTTCTCCTTTTCCGGGATGGTGTCACAGCTGACTTTGGCTCTCCGTCAAAAGCTGCATCGATGTGCGCGGACATAGACGGTGGCACAGCACTCATAGGATGTGGAGTTCCAGGAGTTTGCGAATGACCCAGTTGCCAGCGTAGGTTCGAAGTAGCAGATGCCGGTACTGCGGAAGGCTGTGTCCTCGCAGACCATGGGGCAAAGCTTTGTGGTGTGACTGCTGAAGCGACTGCCCAAGGATCCTGGTAGCTATCTGGGTGAGCACTCATAGGGACTGCAGACATTGGAGCAGCTGAGTACGGTGCGGCGCTGTCAGCCGTTGATTGACTCTTCGTAGCACTATCATTGTCATTCTTGTCATCTTGCTCGGTCTCAGAATTGCGCCTTCGACCTCTCTTCGGTCTGAACGAGGGATCCAGTGCTCTGATGGCAAGGTCCTCCTCAGCCGTGACACCATCTCTCCCACTCGTCGGATATGGGTCATTGGGGTTCGGAATCTCTGTAAAATACGCATGTTGCTTCCCCATCAGATGATCGAAGAAGGCATCGATATGCATTGCTCTCATCCATCGTTTCAGGCGTACACTGTATTGCTGGACCTTTTGAACAGATTGACCCTTCGACGGGTCTGGAGGCTCGACTCCGAGATCGAGAGCCAATTGGTTCCACGTTTTGATCTCCTTGGAATCGAACTTCTTGAGGAGTTCGAACAGTCGATATGGCTCAAAATCCTTGTTGTCGCTTTTCGGCAGTCCAGTCTCGAAAGTTTGCTTGAGAGTTGATGTGTCAACGTCGAGAGCGAAGTTTGGGTTGGCATAGAGAATGAAGTTCACATAGGCGTCTGCTATTGTTTCCGGCGTGACATCCCGAGATGGTAACGCTCTGTCAATGGGCTTGAAAGAGAAGGCCGGGCCCGGGGAAGTACTGTTCATTCGAGGCGATGAAATATTAGGAGGCTGCATCGATCCACGTTCGTTCGACGAATGTCGTCCCTGCCTCGCCGACTGCGGCTGAAGACCTTGAGGACTGCTTTGCAATTGAAGACCCGGGTCGATTCCATAGACTGGCGAATTAAACTGTGAGTGGGCGAATGCTGTAGTTCTAGGGTTCCCGGGTATTTGATGGTGTCCAACATTCTGATTCTGCTGTTGACGATACGCCATCTCCGGGTCTCCTGAACGTCGCAGGGCTGCGAGTCGGGACGAGAGGACCTCCGAACCAGCACGATCAGGTCTTTTAGGTCAAGGGTTAGAGAGAGAGAGAAGAACATCCGTCTTGATCATTCACTTCGATGTTAGCAGCATTTAGATGATATTTTGTTGAATTGCTGACCCAAGAAGGTGATTTTTGATGACAAGAAAAGACTGCTAATTAGGTTGACACAATCACGTGGCTTTCCGTATTGACACGAGCCCGCCCGCGCCGTGTTGAGCCGAGGTGATGATGTCGACTTTCACGAGCTCAGAGAGCCTAGGATAACACTCTGCCGACTCGACAAGGACATGCCTTGATTCCGTTCCTTGCCTTGTTCTTCTCCTCATTCATACAGCCTCTTGGATACAGATCTTCTACACCAACGATCAGTTCATCAGAGAGAGCGAAGATGTCGGAAAAAGTACGAATGCCGACCTCACATGTGATCCTCATCTGCTAAAAGAAGCAACTCATAGGAGAACGCAGCACAGCAGACTGCCGCTGAGCAGCAGAGTGACAATGTTGCTCACGCTCTGGCTGGCGCAGGCGGTGGGCTGTTGTCCATGGCATTGACGTGAGTGCTTGAAGGGCTGTTATACTTGAACATGTGGTTCTGAGACTTGCCAGATACCCATTGATCACTCTTTCCACACGAGCGCAAGTCGAGAAGAAGAAGGCGCATACCGGTACCATCTCTGCGGCCAAAAGGATCTTGGATCGCGAGGGGATTGCAGGGCTGTATGCTGGGTTGGACAGCGCCTTGTTCGGGATCACCGTCACCAACTTCGTATACTATTACTGTCAGTACTCGAAAGCATGGCTGCATGACATTCTGCTGATGATGTCCAAGGGTATGAGTTCTCCCGCGCCTTCTTCCAACGCACCACCAAGAAGACCAACCTCAACACCCTCGAATCCATGGCCGCAGGCGCCCTCGCCGGCTCTGCCACGGTCCTCCTCACAAACCCCATCTGGGTTATCAACACGCGCATGACCGCCCGCGAGAACGAAGCCGACGCCCTCCCAACAAAAGAAGGCGAATCTCCAAAGAAGCAAAAACCAGGCACAATCTCCACACTCCTCAAGATCCTGCGCGAGGACGGCTTCACGCGCCTCTTCGCGGGTGTCCTGCCGGCTTTGGTGCTGGTCATCAACCCGATTCTGCAGTACACCATCTTCGAGCAGTTGAAGCAGGTCGTAGAGAAGCGGAGGAAGGTCGGACCGACTGATAGCTTCTTGCTTGGTGCGCTGGGCAAGCTTGCGGCGACGTCTATCACGTACCCTTACATCACGGTCAAGTCCCGTGCGCACGTTGCGAACAGCGATGCTCCCAAGGAGGGCATGACCGCTACCCTCAAGCGTATCTACAAGGAGGAGGGTGTTGGTGGCCTCTATGGCGGTAAGTCGCCGACAGTCACAATCTTGTCGAATCCTACATACTGATGTCGATCACAGGAATCGGTCCCAAGGTCACCCAATCCGTCATCACGGCCGCCTTCTTGTTCGCCTTCAAGGACGCTCTTTATGACATGACCATCAAGGCGCGCAAGACCTTGAGCAAGAAGGCTTAAACGATGCCACACACAATGCGTGTCAGTATGCCAAACCAATCAGCCATGGCAGATTATCCTGTGAATATGTCGGAGGAATGGGAAGGAGATACCACGAAGCCCATTGCGGCTCGACGAGATGCTGAATGTCGCGATGATTTCTTTATACAGTGTGAATAGCTCGAATGTACGAAAGTGAACACGTTAAAGAATTCAACGGTCTACCATCACAATTATGAGCGACAGGGCGAAGCGCTACAGAAAATGGCAGCGATTAGAGCGAAGGAAGAAGTAATGTGTGCACGGAAGACTTGGTATCTCTTTTTGCTGTTGTCTCCCTGATGCCTCGCTATTCTATCCGCTGCGCTCTGGCAGCACCACCAAGCACATCTGGCACAAAAGACTCTTCGTGCGGATGTCGCCAAAGTCTCTGCCAGTCATGCCCTTAAATGCCGTCAAAGCCCATCGAACTTTTCTTTGTCATGCCACGTGCCATCATCCATCTATCTACGAAACAGGCCTAGTCGAACTAGACTCGTACCAGAAATGCTCAAGAGTCGGCCAATACATGCGCCTACTTGAACACCTTGCCATCGGCCCACTCGTATGCCTTGCCGTTGACATCGATTGGCTTGTCCCATGCCCACTGGTCGTTGACAAACTCCCGGTCGGCCTCCTTCTTTGGGTCGAGCTTAGTGAAGGAGTAAGACTCGTAGTCAGGAGCGACATCGAAGGCTGGAAGAGCCTCCTGGCCACGGACGACGAAAGCACCCTTGACGACAGAGTCGTTGGTCACGCCGTAGACAGAGGCGGCGCCGAAGATGTACTTGCGGCTAGCCTCAAGGCGGGCGAAGAAACCGCCGATGAGGTTAGAAGTCATGAAGGTCATGGTGAGCTCGTCGTTGTACTTGTAGTCGACTTGCCACAGCGAGTACTCCTCAAAGTTGCAGTTCTCCCAGAACCATGGGAGAGCAACTTCACGAGTCTCCTCGTTCGAGTACTTGCGCTTCCTGTTCGATGTTGTCAGCTTTAGATTCAGCACGGTGCATGTATGTTTGAAACACTCACCAGTCGTCAAGAACGAAGGTTGGCTTGGGAAGAGCCTCGAGCGGGTGCTTGGGCTTGGGAGCCGGCGCTGGCTCGTCATCCTCGTCGTCGTCCTTGACCTCCTTCTTCTTCTCCTGCTTCTTTGGCTGCTCAGTCTTTGGCTTCTCCTCCTTCTCCTTCTTTGGTGGGGTCTCTGGGATAGCAGTCTCGATGAACTTGGGCTCGCCAGCAACAGCCTTGAAGATGTCCTGGTTGACAACCGTCTCGTACCAGCGGTTGACAGCTGGGTTCTCAGCGCGCCACTGCTTGTCAAAGAAGTACTCGTATCCTCGGCGAAGGATGGAGGCAGTGAAAAGGTCGGCAAGAGTAAGACGCTCGCTGACGAGGTAGGTGTTGACGACAAGGTGGTCCTCCAGGACCTTGAGGTTCTGCTGCGTGCGCTTCTTGCTGTCCTCGACGTTCTTCTTGTTGTAGGGGTCACGGCCGATCAGAGGGCGGAACCAGCCACCAAGGCCTGGAAGGACCTCAGTGTTGGCAAACGACATCCATCGCAGGATGGAGGCGTAGTCCTGCTTGGTCTTGCCGAGGAGAGTGGTCTTCTCGTTCTGGGAGGTGACTGCGAGCAGAAAGTGTCAGCGTCAAGTCGACATATGACTCAAGTAATCGACAGGCGCATGAGGAGGTTGCAAAATCAGAGTGTGAATACGTTCTCAACAGTAGTCTTCAGACAGGGATAACTGAAATATTGATCTTTCATCATTGCAAGGGGTGTAGCAAAGTGTGGGTGTACTCACTGTAGATGGCAATGGCCATGGCCTCGGTCAGGACGTAGCCATCCTGGCCCTCGAAGGTGGGAATCTTGCCCAGCTTGTTGAGCTTGAGGTAGTCGGTGCTGACGCCCTTGGCTGGCTCGGTGTGGACGAGCTCGAGGTCGAGGCCGTTGGCCTTTGCGACGGCGAGAATGGCGGTGGTACGGGGGTTGCCCTGGAAAACAAAAAATCGACGGTCAATGACTGAAGCTGTGGAGGGGGCGGTGGAGGAGCTGGAAGGGGGAAACTCACGTTGAAGCCGTAGATCTTGCCGAATGCCATGGTGCAGACTGTGTGGTGTGTGGAGCGTTTGAGCAGTGCGCCTTCGTTGGCAGAGGGGATAGGCAAAGAGGGGTGTGGTGGTGTTGGTGGTGGTGCGAAGAGAAAGCCCGCTCGAAAAAGCCACGCCCGCTGCAGAACTTCAGGCGCTTGGACCAGAAAAGCTCGGCTAAGCTGCCCCACGAGTTGAGAGAGAGAGAAACGTCGAAGTCAAGGCCTCACGCCAGGACAGTCCTCGTACACGCACATCCACCACCATGGAGTCGTCCGCGATACGGCATGGCGTGCGTCGAGCCATTGCCGCATGTCAGAATACATCCAAGAGGCGCGCATTACACCAGTCGTCACGCTGCCTTGCGACTCCGGCACAAGGAGAAGGCATCAAAGCAGCAGCTCCTATTCGCTTCTCATCAAACCGAAACCAATTCTCCAAGGGACGACCTCGCGCTCAATTGATTGAAGATGACGATGCGGGGTCAGCTCGGCGTGGACGGGATGGTCGCTTTGGGGACCAACGCCTCCTGAGGAACATCCGCATCATCCCAGCGTCTCCTTCATATTTCACTGCCACGCCCAGAATGACCGACGACATGCTGCACCTGTCCCAGCTATTGCGAAGATACCAAACACTCCCTGTGTTACCGCCTGGCGAAGCACCTCGAGTAGCCTGGAAGACCCGACAGCAGTACAAGATTGAAGTCCTGGAGCCAGTCAGGGCAAAGGACTACAATATGATTTTGACGCTGTTGAAGAGGTTGAATTACATACATCGATCTCTGATACCAGCAGAGGTCACACAAACGCTGGAGAAGTACAAGAGGCTGGTACAGCCTCATCTCAACAAGCCCAAGCCGATCGAGATAGATCAGTATGGACGCGCCAGGGCAGTGGGGAAGAGAAAGACCAGCACAGCTGCTGTGTTTCTGGTGGAAGGTGATGGGCAGTGTCTGATCAACAACAAGTCTCTCACGAACTACTTCGGTCGCTTGCACGACAGAGAGTGTGCGCTGTGGGCTCTAAAAGCAACGGAGAGACTGAACAAGTACAATGTATGGGCTCTGGTGAGAGGAGGAGGCTTGACTGGACAAGCTGAAGCGATCACCCTCGGCGTCGGAAAGGCCCTGTTGGCGCATGAGCCAGATTTGAAGCCAGCATTGCGGAAAGGTGAGTCCAGATGGGTGTGCAATGTGACCAAAGACATGCTGACGATATTTTTAGCCGGTGTACTTACTCGCGATCCCCGACGAGTCGAGAGGAAAAAGCCTGGAAAGCTCAAAGCCCGCAAGATGCCGGCCTGGGTCAAACGGTAGCGTTATACATTGCATCTACATTTCCTGTATCTATACCCAATGGAACCTTCCGACCTGGGAGCTTGTACAAATCGCTTGGAGGTCCATCGCTTGGAGGTGACTTTGAACAAGATACGGCGAGTTCTGCGACAGGTGAGTGCTGGGTTCGCAATGTGGAAGCTGCCTCGTTCACCGTCCTAGTTTCACCTTCGCGAAGTGCAACCCAAGCATGTGACGGCCTACGAATTTAGCGAGGCCCCGATGCTCTACGCCGAGCAGTGCAGATTACAGATGCCGAGACGCACCAGTACAGAATGTCCATGTATTCGGAGGCCAGTGAACGTACAGGCCGATCACCCAGAGCTCGGCGGCTTAGGAGCAGCGTGTGGCAACGTTCCATCGATGGAGACTATTGTTACAGGATGGGAATGTATTGTTGGCGAGATCCTGACAATGCAACATGGACCAAAGCAACGGTCGTGACTGGATGAGTGCAAGGCCGAGCAACCTTCACCACGTGCAGTCGCCCATCAAACAGCCGTGGCCTCAGTCTCACCCTGCTTTGCGCTTTTCAGACTGGTTTCCAATCCTCCAACGAGTTGAAATGTCCTTGCTAATCACCAATCGCTCGGCGACAGCGAGCGGTGTATCGTCCGGTCAACACAGGCTCGGGGTATGGATAATGTCCGCGCAGCGCAACACGCCATCCACCGAGGAACTGCCCCTGAAAGATTCGAGACACCATGTCCAACCAGAGAATCAATGGCATTGTCGAAAGCCCTAATGTTGCAGTCATCCGGAAATAGTGAATGTGGAATGAAGGTGGCCAGGGGCTTTCCACGTGGCCATAACACCCTACCGCACCATCTCCAGATACGAAACCCCCAAGACCGTGTTCGCGGAACTCCCTCACGTTCTCTCCATGCTCTGCACAAGATTGAGCATCGAATCACCACGCCGACGAGGTAGCTCAGCCATGTCGAACAGCAACCATTGCCGTGATCACTTACATGATTGGAGAGACGAGGACGCCATCCTTGGCACCTTCAGCAGAACTACGAGGTTATGATATGCAGTATCTCGACATCGGCTTCATCTATCGATCCTTGTGGCCCCAGAGATACCGCCTCTTTCTGTGTGTAACGTCATCCATTTACTGGCTTTCGGCAGCTCGAACCTGCGCCCGGCACAAGGGAACTTGGCTCTCTGCCTTACCGGACACTGCCACCAGAGCCTGATTGGCGCGTTTGCAGATATCAGGTACATGACCGGTGAAGAAGAAGCCCCCAGCTTGGCGAGCGGCAGCAACCGGTGAGCGCTAGCGCACGTTTGCCTAGGCATGTGCGAGTCGCCACTGGACGGCCATCAGAGCCTCACAAGAGTCACTACGTACACTTCGCGCTCGGGCACGGCGTACCAAGGGGAGTCCCCGACCGCTATTGGGTGCGTAGCGATCTGCCATGGAGAGTCACGTCTTTCACCACCAGGCAGACCAAAGCAAGATTACCTTTGGGAGTAACGTGGCCGTGCGGACGCACCGTCTTTCTTTCTCCCTGTTCACCGGCGGTGCTGTCGCTGCTGCAGCGGTGGATTTGACGGTGAGGGCGATGCTACTTGATGTCAAGGCGTCTGGTTGATGCCTGCGGTTTCTGCATTTCCTGCGCTTCTCTGTGGCTATTGGTCCTCGATCCTGGGGCTCGTCGTGTGCGTGATGAGAAAGATTTGTGAACGCTTCCATGGTTTCGCCACTCATTGTCGTCCTCATTGCCTGGACGGTGAGGGCTTGGTTGAGGGGATGTCACCGGAGAGTGGAGGGTCGGCGGTGTTGTCGTGGTTATAAGAGATGGAGGGTGGCCCTCTTGTGAGGGATAGTATCAGACACTTCAACGGATATCATCTGGATCAGAACAACTTCCAAACTTCTGAGAGTCTCGGATTACAAGCTCGCTCCATCTTCTCATTCAAATCTCAATCAAGATGTCCAACAACGGCGGAGACCCCCAGCCTCGGGATCCTGGAAAGGGCCGCACACGTGGTCGATGCCCACAAGCACTCTCCTACTCAGCATCGAGTCCAACCCTTGCCTATATCGACATTCACATCGTGGAGGTCTCTGATGAGGCTTCGAGCTCGTTCGCCGTTGGAGAAAACGCGATCCAGACCCCTGGAGCCTCTCCTCTCATTGATCGTGTCTCCACATCGAAGAACGCCCGATCTCACGAGCATACGTGGGTGACGTCTCCCCCGTCCTCAATGAGATCGAGACGATAAAAGCCACCCTGGCTCTCGTAAGTCACACACTAAACACGCTGTTTAGATCCCTGACTGACATCACACTCTCTCAGTTGACCTTGCAACTCGAACCGAAAATCTACACAATTTCAATCAGGCGCTCGCCGACACACTCCGCTCTTCAACACATCACCAGCTCCGATCATATCACAACAGTTCTCCTTCAGGATTCCCAGCTCAACATCTAGCATCACAACATTCAGCTCTCTTCTCGGAAGTTGCCGGGACATCGGCGTTCGGGGGCACTGCATTGATTTTGTGGGAGGTTTGGCAGGTACACATGGAACACGGTACATGAAGCACAACACGTTGTAGAGTAGACCAGACAAGATCGACAGGACAATTACAGCAGGACACATCTCACCACTCACGAACGTTCGCCTTGACGTATGCCAACGAGAGCAGCTCAGAACTGCAATCTCGTAGTTAGGGAGCAAACTGTAAGCTTCATGTACCTATGCCTCATGCGTAAGTCTACAAAAATATATCTTCGCTACGATCAGAGCTGCTCTTCGCTAGCTAAGTTCTGAAAGAATCTTTCACGTGCGGGTATCCCTGGACGTAACAATAGTCCTGAGGGATGGCTTAGACTCTGCTCTGTTGGAAACTCGGGTTATCGACTTCATTTTGGTTCACTTCTCTACATAGTATGTAAGAGTGGTTGATCTAATCATGTCGCTCTTTCCTCCTTTCTCGGCACGGAGAAACATTAAGCCTAGAATGACGGAATCAGCCAATCACGTATCGCGTAAACAAACTTGCAGGTGAAGGACTCTCTTGCAACGCGCGTCTTGGCTCTGACATTCCATACTTTCGCAAATGTGCTCATCATTCGTTGAAGTCAATTCCTGACTACAGACTATTTATTGGAAGCTAACTCACACGCCTGTTTCGCCCGATTTTCCGCCAAAACTCCAGGATGATTCATACGCGAAATCCCTTTCCGCAGGATCATGACAACGATAGGCCACGGTTCTCGCTCTTGACTTCGACAACACCGGTTTTCTTCTCGGTCGAGACCTGGTCTTGACTGGATTGATCGCTGTCGGCATTCTCGTCATCGCTGGTGCGAGCCTTAGCCTTGAGGAATGGCCAGTGGCCGCGTTTCTCGTAGAAGCCGAGGGCGCCGAAGGCAACGATGACGGTTAGCCAGTACAGGTTATACGCAAGCACTGAGCCGATGGTTGCAGAGTTGGTCCAGCCGAAGAGGGAGTTGAAGATACCCCAGCCGCCACCGCCGTTCACCTCTGGGTTGCAGCAGTTGACGTGCCAGACACTTTTGCGGATGTCGTAGGAACCTGGCCCGGAGCCGGTTTCAGCAGCGTCACCGCCGGTAATATCGCTCCATGCGTTCATCTCGAAGTTCCACACGGCCCTGGAGAAGAGACCGGCGGCGACCAAGTACAAGAAGCAGGTCGAAATGATGAGGAAGATCTGAAGCTTGGCGGAGTTTCCACCACTGGGTCGACGGTCAGCGAATGTCTGCGACTGCTATCGGAAAACAATACTTACCGGTAGATGAGGTAACCGATCGCAATTCCTGCCAACAGGCCGCAGATGACAGCCAAAGGGAAAGATGCTGCCGGCAGGCCAAGGCCAACACCGCCAATGAAGACGACAGCCTCCAGACCTTCACGAAGGACCGTGATGAATGGCAGCAAGAACATGGCGTATTTCTCGCACCAAAGCTTGAAGCGAGATTTCATGCCTAGTCCCTGACCAGAGTGATGCTTCTCAAGGGCCTGTGCGATCTTGACGCGCCATTTGTCTTGGAGTTTGGACACGCGCAGCAAGCCAATGCCCATGATGGTGATGATAATGGAGGCGACGAGACCGAATGCACCCTCCCAGATGTCCTCAGTGGAGCCGAAGATGTCCTTTCCGAGGCCGTAGAAGGTGCCAATGAAGGCGCCTCCAACGGCCAAGCAGATGAACAGACCGAGTCCTATCCCGAACCAGATCTGTTTCAGTAGCCGCTTGTATATGGCTGGATCTCGCTCAGGCCCGCCAATGCTCTGCTTGAGGAATGCCAGCAAGATGGACACGATGATCGTGCACTCGAGACATTCTCTGAAGCAGATGAAGAAGACTGTTCCTCTCAGCGCTCACTTCAGTATCGCAGGCACGACATTGGACTTACCGGGAACTGCAAACACGTTGGACACCATGGCGACGTTGTTTGAAGCGAACGAATTGTTCGATGAGTGAGAGCCGACTTCACCACTCTGGTATGGGTCTCGAGATCAAGATGATAAGATAAAGGTCGAGATGATCAGATAGGACCTCTGCCTTGAAAAGAGCGGCAGTGGCGGTGGTGAGCACAGGCCTGCACTTGAGATGCTACGGCGTCGAAGGTCCCTGCAGTTGTCACACGACGAGCCCGGTATCGGCTGCAACGGAGATGCTGAAGAGGAGGACGTGAAGAGGATGATCTCGCTTCGGGATTGAGTTCGAGGCTGGCCGCCGAGGTGGTGCCACCACCCACACGAACTGCTTCCCACGCCGGGTTTCGCGTGGGGACAAGGTAAGTACTTTCGTGATTGTCTCCTTTGTTGCAATTGATTGGACCGGCGATTTGCGTTGGCAAAAGAGGCGTCTCTGGTACTTCCTTCTCACGCTGCCAAGGCGCACGACTCGAGCTCCAGTTCAATTTCACGAGGTGAAGGTGGGGGTTTGGTCGCTCGGCATTTCCTTCTGGATCAGATAAGATGGATATCGGATCAACGCTAACGGCAAAGCTTAAAGCGTCTTGCCAATGACCAAGCTTTCTTAGCGCCCCATCAGACGTTCATTGGCTGGAAGGAGCGCGCGTCCAGACCGCGGGCTGACGGTGACCTGGTACTCGATAGTGGCAGATCACACGGCTCACACGACTTTGGAGCAGTGCTACGGCGCGACAAGCGCGAGATAGTCTGTCGAGCTCTACGAGCAGAACTACAGGGACAGACCTTCGTCTCAGCGGCAGCGGATTCTGTTCAGCAATGGCACAAGATGATGCTCGATGTGGGAGGTGAAGTGAGACGGAAAATTGGAGCACGGCCTTGCCCCAGAGGAAGGAACGACGACGGTGCCCACCACCACTTCTTTCTGGCACGTGGAGAGCAGCCAGACCGTTCGACCGATCGACGGCACTAGCTGGACACACACATTGGCAAAGACGCTTCGCCAGTCTTCGCCCAACACGGCGTTGATCCGACACTCTTCCTGCGCCTTATCAGATCCACCAGTTCGACGATCCTGCAGCTGTCGCTTCACCACTCACCCTCCGTTTCTCGGAAGGGTCACGAGCGCGTGGCGACAAACAGATTCCCGTCCAGAATCTTATCACATCTAATCGATCTCAGACCTCGACTTTCCCGTCGAGCCTGAAAAGAGTCGAAAGGGGCATCTTATCAGATTCTCCCATCTTCGCATCTCTTGACCATTGGTGTCGTCGACCATGGCTCGCTCGTTACCCAGACTCGTCGCTGCCAGTTGGCTGGTAGGCCAAGCAGCTGCGGCCACGGTCACTCACGACTTCAATATCACATGGGTCAATCGGAATCCCGACAAGATGATGGACAGGCCGGTCATTGGGATCAACAATGAGTGGCCTATCCCTGTCCTCAACTTCACGAAGGGCGACAATGTTGTCATCAACGTGAACAACCAGGTGAGTACTCCGAGCCTCGAGGTTGATAATCTATTTTTGTCTCCAGAACGCAGACTGAGTCCATCATGATGGCTTCGCGTCTTGCGAATGCATGGAGGATAGCCCTCTGATACACTCAACTTCGAGCACGACAAGAGAACTTGAATGAGCATTGGCTAACATGAAGACAGCTTGGTAACCAAAGCACAAGCTTACATTTTCACGGCCTCTTCCAAAATGGCACCAACGAGATGGACGGGCCGCCAGCTGTGACCCAGTGCCCAATTGAGCCAGGCTCGACATTCACGTACAACTTTACAATTGAGCAGCCCGGTACATACTGGTATCACTCTCACAGCCGAGGACAGTACCCGGATGGACTTCGTGGTCAATTCGTCGTGCACGACCCAGAGAACCCTTACTCGGACATGTATGATGAGGAAGTCAGCATTACCCTCTCCGACTGGTACCACGACCAGATGCCTGGTCTCCTGGATGGCTTTATTAGCGTCACCAACCCGACCGGTGCTGAGCCCGTGCCCAACTCTGCCCTGATGAATGAGACTCAGAACTTCACGCTCAATGTTCAGGCAGGACAGAAATACTTCTTCCGTATGACAAACGTTGGAGCATTTGCCAGTCAGTACTTCTGGATCGAAGGACACAATATGACCATTATCGAAGTCGATGGTGTCTACACGGAGCCAGCTGAGGCGGAGATGATCTACATCACTGCTGCCCAGCGCTACGGTTTCATCGTGGAAGCCAAGAACGACACTTCAGCAAACTTCGCCATGGTTGGCAGCATGGACACTGACCTCTTCGACTCCTTCTCGCCTGACCTTCAATACAACGTCACTGGCTGGTTGGTTTATGATCAGTCAAAGGACCTGCCGGAACCTGCGGTCTTGGATAGCTGGGATGCTCAGTTCGATGATGTTGATTTGGTGCCGCAGGATGGCGAGGAACTCTATGGCGAGCCTGCGATGTCCTTCGACCTTGACCTGCAGATGGATAACCTGGGGGATGGCGCCAACTATGCCTTCTTCAACGGCATTACCTACGTCCGGCCGAAGGTGCCGACTCTTTACAGCGCGCTGACTACGGGGAACTACGCTACCAATGCCAGTGTCTACGGCCGCGACACCAACTCGTTCGTGCTGCCACACAACGCGATCATTCAGATCGTCCTCAACAGCAACGACCCAGGCAAGCACCCCTTCCACTTGCACGGGCACAACTTCCAGGTCCTTTACCGAAGCCCCGACGACTGGGGCTTCTACGACCCGAACAACCGCACCGACTTCCCGGCCAAACCGATGCGACGGGACACCTTCTGGGTCAGGCCTAATGGCAATTTTGTCGTGAGATTTCGCGCAGATAACCCTGGGATTTGGCTCTTCCACTGTCATCTCGAGTGGCATCTTGCCAGCGGCCTCGTTGCCACGATGGTGGAGGCCCCACTGGAGATGCAAAAGAAGCTCACACTGCCTCAGAACCACCTCGACGTTTGCAAGGCTGCAGACATGCCCATTGCAGGCAACGCCGCAGCCAACACCGTCGACATATTGGACCTTGATGGGCAGAACATGAGCATAGCTCCGCTGCCATCGGGCTTCACGGCAAAGGGCTATGTCGCCCTTGTGTTCAGCTGCGTCGCCGCCTTCCTCGGTATTGCCGCGGTAGCATGGTAAGTCCCTCCCTTCATCAGCATGTGATGCATTCAGCACCGCATGACTTCTCTCTCGATCGACGGACGCTGACAGCTACTGAAACAGGTACGGCGCCGCTCCACTCAGCGCAGCAGAGATGGCGCAAACGAAGCGATTTGTCGCAAAGGCAGGCGGTAGCACGACGTGATTCCTCCAGAAGTACGGGAAGCGAAAGGCGTTCTAGTGGAGTATGTAAGGCGACGGGACTGTAATGCGAATTGACGAATGATGCCACAATCCATTCTATTGCAAACATGTCGGTGGTCACGGGGGGCTTTTGGCGGCGGCATCGTCACATGTAGCTTCCCTATCTTTGCGATACCCTCAACTATCTCTTTGCATCACAACGTCGATAGAGCCTGATCCGTCACATGCGACGTTTCCCTTTCCTTGCGACACCCCGCCCGCTGACTATCCCTGTGATTTTCCGTGGAGGTGGCACAGAGATCATTTAATCTAAGCACGTCGATCTCAAATGTCTGCGCAATGCATTGACGCGGACACTCGAAGCTCTCCCCCACCAATGTGCTATCCCAGGATTGGCTGGTAAGTGTTTCGCAGGAGATGAATTGTTTCGAGAGGCGTCTTCTTTCGGGCCCCGTTGGGTCGTTGAGAGTACGTCTCCAATCCATCCTGCTCTTCACGATCCTGGTGAAAACTCGTCTTTCCTTACCGATTCCATCTCATCTCGCATCCCGCATCTTGGGTCGAGGCCGGTCGTAGCACAACACGACTGGAGATTGATGAGTGGCTCCAGAAGCCGAAGGGAGGCTTGCTGCTGTGCCATTGTCTCGGGGCCAGACCCAAACCCTGATCCCTCACCCGAGGAAGCGACGGTCCAATCAGTGCGGGCATGGCTGACGGGCCGCAGTGGATGCCGACCTCCGGCGGCGGCGCCTTGTTGGTTGTACGGGCGTTCAGGGCAAGTGGAAGAGAATGGTTTGAGGTGTTGTTGGCGGGCTTGTCATGAGGTGGGATTTGGGTTTATCGTTGTTGGTCGTGGAGGGAGAGGGAGGCAGGGAGGGTGTATATCAGGGGCTGCTGCAGAACACCACCACCGCATAGTCTATCTCAACGACAACACGCCAACAAACAGCTCTAACAGGGCCGCGCACAATTTCACTCGCTGCTTGCTAGTCCCTTCAGTTGCCGTGGGGCACAGAGGCAGATCTCTCGTCTTTCTTTGGTGGGGGACTTCACCAAATTCGTGTTGACCTCCCTCCCTCCCTCCCTCCTGCTACGCCGCAATCACACATATGCGCTACCGCCAATACCAACACACCCACCACGGCCACGCACCACTCTTTTCTGCTCGCTCTTTTCGCCGGCCTGCCCTCGCCCCTGCCGCTCCTTACATGTCCTCCTGACCGCCAGCACAACAGTCGAATGCCAGCCAGACACATAGACAGACAGACAGACCGGTGAAGGATTGATCGATTCTACCGATTAGACACCAACAGAGCTCCCTCGCCTACTCAGCCGTCCTGACCTGCCTACCCGCCTGCCTCACGCAGATCACCGCGTCCCGCTCATCCCATCACCATGCCTGCTGCAACGCTCCGCCATCCCACCCTAAGCCAGACCTACTACGAACGAGCCGATCAGCCCAACCTCTCCCCTCTGGCCTCGTACCTCCTCCGCCTGATCCACGTCAAGAGGACGAATCTCTGTGTCTCGGCAGACGTAACGACGACCAACGAGCTGCTGAAGATCGCGGAGGAAGTCGGTGATCACATATGCGTGCTGAAGACGCATGCGGACATCATTTCTGATTTTGGGGAGAAGACGATCCGAGGGCTGAATGAGGTGTCGAGGAGGAAGAAGTTCTTGGTGTTTGAGGATAGGAAGTTTGGGGATATTGGGAGTAGGTCTACACTGTAGCTTGGGTATGTGAGGGCAAACGATCTGACTGTGTGACAGATACTGTGCAGCAGCAATATGTCGGTGGTCCTTTGACTATTGTTCGCTGGGCACCGATCGTCAACGCACACATCTTCCCCGGACCCGCGATCATCAGTGCTCTCTCCCAGGCGGCCCAGAAGGCGATCACAGCATATAACACTTCGGTACACACAGACATCCGAGCTTCGCCAACGGCATCCGTCGCAGACGATGCTGATGACAACTATGAGGACCACTACGAGCAGGGCGCAGACTCAGACGAGGAAGAGACAGAATTCGATCGGAAAGGCCGAAAGCAGTCTGTCGTTTCAGTGAGCACAACCATTAGCATGAGGTCAGAAGCTCTCAGTCCACAGCCCCACACACGACCCTCAATATCAAGAGTTTCGTCAGGAGCCGAAGACGAGGACGAAGGCGATGACCCGGAAGCTCTTGATCATCTTGGCCCTCCGCCATACTTTCGCTCGTTACTACTTCTGGCTCAGATGTCGTCTGCGAACAATTTTTTCTCTCCCGAATACACAGCCGCGTGCGTGAAACATGCACGGGAGAATCGAGACTTTGTCATGGGTTTCATCGCGCAGCAGACTCTTAACGAGAAAGCAGACGACAACTTCATCACCATGACCCCTGGCGTGCAGCTCCAGTCCGGCGGCGATGGCCTTGGTCAGCAGTACAACACACCGCAGAAAGTCGTCGGCGAGATGGGCACCGACATCATCATCGTCGGTAGAGGAATCATCGCCGCACAGGATCGAAAAGCTGCCGCGTTAGAATACCGCAAGCAAGGCTGGAACGCGTACCGAGAACGCGTGAGATCCTTGAGATCCCAGCGGCGATGATCCCGGGTCTTTGACGTGCTTGCCAGCAGTTTCGAGCTTCGCGTTCAAGCGTGCGTGCAATGCTTTCGATGTCTTCATGCATGGGGTGTGGCGTTTCAAAATGGGAGGACTGGTGCTGGCTTGAGAGCCGCCCGGGTTATGCGAGTGACAAAGTTTCAGCCCCTTTCGTGGGTGTAGATGGGATGGCTTTGGTGTTGATGGCCCTGCAAAATTTCCGGCGATTATGATGTCTTTTTCTCTTTTGCTGAGTTGTTGTGGCTTCGAGGAGCAACAGGCTCTATGGAAAGACAGAGCCTTCGTGAAGAGTAGCTCCGGATTCGAACCAAAAGAATTACGACTCGGGTGTGGTATGTTGGTCAGGTACCTTTCCAGCTTTTTTTAACGAACCATTTATGGAGACGCCTGTTCCATACTTAACATTGTTGGCCACGACCGGCTCCTCGTCTGTCCCCATGTCTAGATCATTGTCTGCCATTTTTGTTTCCAAAGCACCGTGGTCATTTCTGTCAATTGAAAGATTCCGAATGTTGGTTGTGAATAATCTGACACTTCAGCACTGCCCGGCGTGGCTATGATATATCTTCGTTCATCAACGGATCATCCAACCCGACGTCTTCGTCAGAGAGCCAACTTGGAAGTCAAGCTTTCACCCAAACCGGCAGGCTCGGACCGCCGACGAATCCCTGTGCAGCGATCCCGGTGGATCTTGCGCGGCCCCATGCGGCGAGTGCAGCGAGATGTGGCAGACACTCAGCGGTTTTGTCATGCTGTGGCATGACGAAAGGATCGCCCGTGAGCATCGTGGCGGATGCGCCGGTTCGCACCTCTTTCGCTGGCGAACGATGCCGGGTCATTGGTCAATGGGAGGGCGAGACGTCAACCTGACTGACCTGACTTAGTAGTAGGGCCCTGGTTTCTTTGACGACGGGAGACATGGAAGTTGCACTCTATCTTGTTCCTTATACTGCTCTTGCTGCTTTTCTCTCAGTTTAGTTGTCTGGATTCACGCCTATTGCTCACCGATACAGATACAGAAGACCATATTCCCACCCTCCAACCCATTCGATCATCCGCCCAACACCGCCAACATGGTGGGGCTCTTCGAAACGACATTCACCTACGCCTCCCAAACCCAACTCCCACCCACCGTCTCCGTCGAAGCCGGCCTTCGCATGCTCCACGACTTTGACGTGATCATCCGCCTGAGCCCCGACTGTCGAGGCTGCAAACGAGTCCCCACGCCCAAACATCTCGCCAAACCACACAACCGCCCCGCGAACGGCGACGGCCCCTTCGCCAACGGCCTTAACGAGCATCACGAGGTCTTGTGCTATGAGGTAGAAGAAGACTTGACTTTCATCCCCAAGCGCCTCTGGAGCGGTGGCGTCAAATATCTCGCCGAGTTCCTCCCCACGGCCGAAGGCTGCGACATCACCGTGCACGCCCCAGGCGGCTTCACATCGACGAACCACTGGCGCCTCCTCCGCGAGATGATCCCCGAGGACGAGCCCGGGCCGGTGCTGGAAAGGATCCAGAGCAAAGATCTGGCGCACGCGGTGATGATGGGCGAAGGCTGGTACGTGCAGATCGTGAGCGACGCGCGGTGCAACAAGACGTTTGCGGGGTTTGTGAAAGGGTTCATCAAGAATAGCCAGACGCAGTTGCAGAAGGCGTTTATTGAGAAGTTGCAGGCGAGTCCCGCGGAGCAGAGGCAGCAGAGGCCGACGCTGGGGAGGAGGCGGTCGAGTGAGTTTTAGGAATACACGTGAGATGCTGGGGGTGGGGTGGGTTGGGATATATGTATTGTATGTGCATTGGATGGTGTGTTGTCTTGGAGTTTGGGGGTGCTGGGGCGTTAAAAGAAAAAGAAGACGAACGGAAGAGTGGAAGAGTGGGCCATGAAAATAGAATGGGATCGGATGTAATGTATAGAAACAGCTTGGAACTGGCAGCTGGTCGGGAAAAGTATGGCTCTGCAGGGAGGAGACTGGCGCCATTGCTCAGGCGCAATAGACAAAATGCCGTAGAGAGAATGATAAAAATGACAATGAGATGATACAAAACGAGCATCGGGCTCCCTGGAAGTCTACTTACTGCTAGGGCACTCGTGTCAGATTCAAGACTTTTGCAGGACACGGAGAGACGGGGATAGATGTGGCTCTCCAAGTAGTACACCGTTCCTGCTGTGAACGTACTACTGCCGTCTAAGGTGGCAGATAGCTTATCGCTCACCTGATTTTGGAACCCCGTGTCCAAAGCTCGCTATACATCTGCATCTGAGACTTTCATCGCGGAGTTGGCTGCATCGAATCGAAGGAATATCGTGGTCAGCAACTAGCTGTACGGTCTCGCTTTCACAGCATTAAGGGAGCCGAGGGGGAGAGGAGTCTCTCTCGAAGATTGGGATACGGACTGAGGGAACGGAAAGAGTTTTGGTTATGCGGTAGAGTGCTGAAGCATGGAGAGATGAAGGAGATGACGACAGTGCGCGATTGAGGAGCTTGTTCGGAAGTCTAGAGGGTTGTGAATGGGGGCCAAAGCGTGATTGTAAGAAGGGTAGCTTTTGAATACCTGTGTAGTGTGAATGGATTGATAAAAAGGTTTATTTGCTCTCTCTTCTCTCCGTATTGCGACCTCGCACTGTGCCATTGAATCTAGATCGAACGTAGTGCCAGGTCGCTTCGTTTTGGAGAAGTGCGTGCGAGGAGTGAGCACCGCTGAAATTCGACTCTCGCATGAGTAACAGCTGTCTCTCAATAAGGGCAGAAGAGCTGATGTCTCTTCCACTTTCACGTCCCCGCAACTCTGGTCCGTGCACCATCGAACATCATTCACTTCATGCCGGCTTCTATCATGTCCAGACAACATTGGCGACCCTATCACTAGCCACGGCTATGGCGCATTCAGTGGCTATTCAGCAAAAACATTATCGACTTGAAAAAGGCTTTGCGTGTATACCTGAATTAGATGACTGTGGCAATCGTCTAGAGCCGAACGCAAGACTGAATTCGGCGGGAACCATTTCCAGCTCAACAACACCTGAGTCATGACAAACACGTCCTGGTGGTGTCTGCGGCTTCCTAGATGACTGTTGCACCATACGCAAGTTGGAAAGGATTCGAACGAAAATCGAAGTCATCCATTTGGGGTTGGCTGTCATAAGGTGGCTGGAGATCTCATCCCTCGCTCGAAAGAAGCTCGAGTCGAGAAGCAAACGCTGCTATTTCTGCTGGTCTTGGACTTGGACACCTGGCAAACAAAAGCCTTCGAAAGTTTGGGTGCTTTCAAGACTATGCACCATTGCAAGTCTTCTTGTTCAGAGAGACCAAATACCGGCCGGCCAGTCCATTGTATTCAGCACGGTGAGCTGAAACACAAGCCTCCGCTACCGCTTCCTTACGATCCCAAACTTCTCTAGAATCGAGGGATTATGGATATCCTCTGGTAGTCGCAGGCGATCCGATCTTGGTATGCGGACGATCTACCACTCCTTGGATCCCTTTCACGGAGATTTAGCGGTTCCATGCAAGATTCCAAGCTTCAGCCAAAGCCACAGGACTTCAGCAGAACCTCGTCGTGCTCACAGGCGACAACGGCGCTCTTATGGGACCCGCCCCATCCTTCGACAGCATCCCCTCCGCGGAAATCATAAGACACCTAGGCAAGACCGTCGTGGAAGTGCACCTCAACACCGCGGTCAACTACCTCCGACATCTAGACAACGAGGAAGAGAAATTCAACGAGGTCCTGCGCGACGCCACCAAGATAAGGATCCAGAAAGTCAACGCTATGATACGTGAAGAGGCCGTTGAAGAGATTGCGAGGTGTAAGAAGGAATGCGAAGGCAAGGAAGTTGGTCTTCGGCACTGGACACGTCGGCACTGGAGTGACCACGAAATGGAGGAGGTCATAGTGGAGGTTATGAGGCGGCATGGCGCGATGGATTGAGGGAAGATGGGGGATGAGCGGATTCAAAACTACTGGGTCGTTTTTCTGAGAGTGAAACACGCCACCTTGTTATTAACACAGGGGACCACTGACTCCAGTCAATATTATGGTTTGGGTGAAAGACGATGCGGCGAAAGACGATGGGGCGAACGACGACAGGCGACAAACAACATACGAATCGAGGTCAGGCTTCTGCAGAACAGACGGCTGCACTTAATGGTGGAAGGTCCGCGCAGAAGTCGAGCCAACGGGCGTAGAGGATTTTGGAAACCACACAAGTGAGCGGCATGTCCAGGTTGGAGATTGAGCGATCTATAGACGTGTCTTGGTTGAACGACTTGGGAAAATTCTGCGCTGGTTTTGAACTATAGAATCTAGAACCCTAGAATCTAAAACCTGCCCTAATTGGATACAGTTCATGGCAGACATGTCTATCTGTTTTTTTGCTAAAACGCGGATTCGCATGAGTGCACTGCGGTGATGGTTGAATGTCCAACTTCTGCTATCCTGAGAAAGTTCATGGTGGGGCTTTCACATGCTAGCGTGGTTTCGAGACGCACGGGCCACATTTGCGGGGACACGAAAGTGGAAGGTACATCAACTCGTTTGCTCATGTTGAGAGACTGCTGTGAGTTATGCGAGAGTCAAATGTCAGTGGTGTTCAGCTCGCCGATCATGACATCGCAGTCTGTGCAGGAATCTGTCAGCCATCTCACGGCACTTCTGCAGAATACCGCGGTTTTGCGCTATGTTCGATCTAGATCGACCGGTGCAGTGCGTATCAATTTATGTACAGTCTGTGGAGAGGGCGGTGGGGTGGGCGAGAGGGTATTGGGGTGACTAGTTCTCTAGTGTGTGAGGTTCTCCCGTAAGATGGGCGGCTGAATTGATGGCATGGTGGACGTTGGCACGCCGGAGAAGAAGGGGTTTCAATTCTCTATGAGCTACACGAACATTGCATAGCCCTCTGGTACTTGGGCACATCGCCACAGAACCTCTCTTCCTCCTCGCGGTTCCATCCCCATTCCTCGTTAAACGGCGCCAGCGCCATGTCCATTACGCGGTCAAGAATCTCCCGCTCGCCCTTCTTCTCCACGCGCTCGATGAGTTCGTCAAGAATCCATGACCTGGGAATGAACTTCGGGTTGACCGCTTTCATGGCGCTCAGACGCTCCTCTTCCTGTGCGCCTGGCCAGTCTTCGAGAACTCGCTCGCGGTATTTGGCGAGCCACTTGGCCACACGCTCACGAGCGTCGGCTTCGCTGCCTGCAAGGCCACTAAGACCTTCATGGTGGAAGAAGCGGCCGGCGACGTCTTTTCGCTTTTCGTCGGTGTCAATCTCCTGCGTCTTGATGTAGCTTAGTCGTCGGAATGTATGGTTGAAGTCCAGCTCCAAAGCCTCGAGGGTGTCCAAGAGCTCGGAATAAAGCTCATCAAAGTCGGACTGCTTGCTCTGCTTGAGACCAAGACGAGCTGTCATTAGACGTTTGTACTCGGCCATGAAAACGGCTTTGTACTCTTCACCAGTCTTCTCGATAATGGTCTCGGCACGCTTGATGAGCTCATCTGCTTTCTCTTGTCGCACGCCCTTCTCGACGAATTCCTGATCGTCACACCATGGTCCCGCACCAATTATCTCTCCGAATGACTCTGCAAGCCTTACGAGATTCCACCAGATGATCGATGGTTGGTTCTTGTACGCATATCGAAGCATGTGGTCATCGTGATTTGGAGTGTAGCTCGGGTCAAAGTTATCCAGGAATGCGAAAGGTCCGAAGTCAACAGACAGGCCGTATATGGATGTATTGTCTGTGTTCAAAACACCATTCGTAAAGGCATAGGCCTGCCAATGTGCAACAGTCTTTGCATTGCGGCGTGCGACCTCGCGGAACAAACGAGCATATCGATTCTCGGCATTTTCTCCCGCGCCTTGGATTTCATTCTTCGGGATCCCACCTTGGAGTCCCACCACATCTTTCTCATCTGTCGATGGGACTTGCGCAGGTAGTGACTCCCAGCCAGGGAAGACCTCCTCAGCAACGTAGTCTGCAAGCTTCCTGACCATGTCACGATCGCCTCTGGATCGAGGGAGGTCAAAGGTACCGATTCGAATCCATGTCTCGGCAAATCGTGCGACTATCGCCGCAGGTTCGGTCATCTCTCTCCGGACATGTTCCTCAGGTCCCAAAGTCAGACTCAGTGCGCGTGTCGTTGGTATACCCAAAGCATGGAGAGCTTCGCTAACGACAAACTCGCGAATGCTGCTTCGTACCACAGCTTTTCCGTCTGCGAATCGAGAGTATGGGGTCTTGCCTGCGCCCTTTAACTGTATCTCGTAGCGCTTCTTAGTTGAAGGGTTGTTCGCCTCAAACAGAGATATAGCGCGGCCATCGCCTAGTTGTCCAGCCCACGATCCAAACTGATATCCACCGTAACATTGAGCCCATGGATAAATATCCTCATCGCCCGGCTCTTTGTCTTCATCAATCGTTATTATCTGTTCACCAGCTACCGTCTTCTTAAAATCTTCTGACTCCACAGAAGCTGGATCGATAGCCAGGTCCTTCAACGCAGCTTTTGAAACCCCAACAAGCTCCGACTTCTTGAACGGCTGCGGTCGAACGAAGGTATATGCTGCATTCTTCACAAGTCGTGGCCCCAGCTGCTTTCGTTCGGTCTTATGCGATGCCGCTGGCGTAGGATACTCGGAGTCAGGAGGCAACTTCTGCGTAAAGTTTTTCGTCTTCGGCAAGTCTCGAATGTTAGAGGTCTTCTGGTCGCCATTCGCATGGCCGTTGCTGATATGGCTCGCCATTTGCGCTATTCGTCGTTGTACGATCTGTGGCCTACTTTGACAGGCGGCTCGATACATACAAAAAGTTGAGTAGTAATACAGAGAAGAGGAAGGTGGCGAGTAACGACAAGTATGCAATCGCGCTTGTACATCTACCTGGAGCTCGACGAAGAAGAGTGACGTAGAAAGCGTGAGCCGAGCCGAGAACAGTTCGGCCCGCCCCACGTGGCTGAACGCTGTGGCGCTTCCAACGTCCCTTCCTTTGCGCTGCCATTTTCGCTTTCTCCTCCTCTGCACCTGCTTTCCAAACACTCGCCCATCGCTTTCAAACGCAACTGAACACTTCATCTCCATCACCTCTACACCAACTATGCGAACACAGAACCTGGCAGACTCTCCCCACGACATAATACCGGCAGGATGAATAGAGGCCACATTCCAGGCTATTATTTTGGTAGACCTTCAATCCCCGCTCCGAGAAAGCCAGGCTAACATCCAGTGTAGACGAAGAAAAGAAGAAGTACTTCAAGATCCAGGCAAACCATATTGCCCCCGAGAATGCCAAGTACAACAAGACCAACGCGAAGCTCGAACTGCGTGAGAACAAGAAACGCAAGCGCCTGGAGAAATACCAGCAGCAAGTCGTACAAAAGCAGACGGTCGTGAGGCCCAAACTTCTCAGACATCCGCTACTCTCTGAGACCGGCCTGCAGCGAGAGCTTGGTCGCAGACACTGTCATGCGCAGGGAGATGCAGCGTTTGTCCATGGACTGGAGGCCAAGCAAACAGAAATCGAAATCCGAGGCTTCGCCCCTGAGGCCACCATTCTCACCGACGCTCATTTGTTGAATAACGTGTCTCAAATGCTCGTCGCTGTGAGGCATGGTGTGGCCTCGCATGCAATGTACATATTGCACTGCGACGGCGAATGGGGCCCCAAAAAGACATACCCGACAAAGCAAGCCATCCATGCCTTCCACGAGCCTATTACCTCGCTTCACTACATGTCGGATCCCGCACATTGGAATGAAGCCAGCTTTGGTGTGGTTATGGCCAATACGGCACAGCCGAACCGATTCTCGGGCAACTTCTTTTGGTCCTTCATTTCGGACATTGGCTCCGATGATGATTTGTCGGAAGACCGCCTTGAAGCCGTGGTTCTGAATTATGGCTCGGACACAGACACAATCTGGGACTGTCAACTCGACGAAATCAATACGTATTTCGCGTTGGGTGGCACGTTTGGCGCCATAGTCAGGGGAATTAGCGGCCCTGGCACAGACAGCGCCGTGTTGGATGCAGAGGATTCCGGCGAAGTGTTTTCCTTGGACTGGTTGGATAGGAAAACCATCGCCCTGGGCATGAAACCGTTTTGTGAATCTGAAGGCTACCACAACGTTGCTCTCTGGGATATCCGCAACAAGGGAGTCGCGCAACGGATTCGGCGACGTGACAAAATCAGCGGTGTCCGCAACCCCGACGCCAGCAGGCACAATCTCGTCGTCACCAGCAGCCACGACATCAACCTGTACGACCTGCGTTACGTCTCGAAGAGCGTGCCGTTGATGTCGATAGAGCACAAGTCGGGGTCTCCCACCTTTCACATGTCGATTTTGGATGGCGACCTGCTGGCGACCACTGATTGGAACAACAAACTTCAGGTCTATTCCCTGAGGTCAGGTACGCTTGTTCGCACGCTGGCTCCGTATGGAAACCGCAGGGGAATCATTTCGAAACCAAGGTGGCAGCATGATTTCAGAGGTGTCCCGTATTTGCAGGCTTGCGTCGGCAATACTATTCAGCGATGGACATGAAAAAGGAGGGG